GATCTGATTCAACGTTATAACATTTTTGAACGGCATGATTCATATTAATCTGCTTCCATTTTTATCAAAATTGAACTTGACGGCCAATTTTGTATTATAAATTATTATTGGTCGCGTATATTTTTATCCAGGAAGTCAATTAATTTTTCAAATAATTTGTAATTTTTATTAATTAGATGAATTAAATTAATTTTTGAAAAATGTAATTCTAAAGACAGACGAATTAATCCAAATTAATGTATTTTTCTTGTTAAATGCGACAGTGCAATTAATTTTAATACAATTCATTTAAATGTTAAATATTTTAAATTAAATTTTAAAAATTTATACGAATATAAATTGTACGTCATTATTAACATTTGAAATTGCTTCAAATTTATGAAGTTAAACCCGATTAGCCGTAATGAAGAGAAATTGACCGGAACATGGAAAATGGTTGGCTGGAGACGTTCAATGACCTCATCAGATCAGACCATAGACTTGTCCCAACGTTCCACATAATTTTATGAGCACCAAACAGCAAAGTAGAAATAACTGTAGAATATTTTGGAGGTTTTAGGAAAAATTCCCAAAATAACAAGCTTTCGTTCGCATACAACAAATATCACCATTATAAAAAGCTTTGAAAGCATCCAATCGTTTAATAGAAATATTTTTATCCCCGTGCGTGCCTAGGCATATAATAATAATAATAAGAATTATTATTATTATTATTATTATTCTATTGTTATTGTTATTATTATTTTTATCTAATCTTTACGAGTTTCAAAACTTGTTTTTCTAGCATTGACAAAAAATGCATTAGAAGCATTATTGTATCGTGTGAATTTATAACAAAACGATTTCGACCAAGTAAGTTAAACATAAGAAAAACTTATTTATAATATTTAGTCAAACTCACTTGAGCCAACAACTAAATAAACATAAACCTGGCTTAAAAACATGTCGTAAACATTCGAGCACATTGCATGCAAACATTTTTAATACCAACAGTCGTTAGCTGAATTTAATGTATGCTCAAACATATGAACATCCACATGACAGACCAGTCAACATTATTTATCGTCATCAGCGTCATCACTTTTTGTCATCGCCATCATCGTAATCATAATCAGCAACAAAATGCCAAGATGCTTCTAAAATGACGTCAAAACGCAAATGAACAGCTGATCACGTGACACGCACGTGGCCAGGGTAACAGACGTGGTCACTTTTTGCGTGTGTTGTCATGGTAACGATTTTAATAAATCATATGCGTCTGAAATTTACTGAATTGTTATTGGTCACATGTGGTCATCATGTGGTCATCGACTTGGAGTCATGGTTGTAGTACCGCAATTTTGATAAGTCACATCGTCATAATTGAAGCGGTGGTCATAATTGGAGCTGCAGTCAAACAGGTGGTCATAGTTGCAGTTGAGGCCGATCACGTGGTCATAGTTGTAGTTGTGGCCGATCACGTGGTCATAGTTGTGGAGCCAATCAGCATTCGCTACCGGAGAATTAGGAAATTCTTTACGTGTCTGGTTTCTTAATGGGTCATTTTGATTTGTGGCTCTTCTTCTATCTCAATTGGAGGCTGGTGGCCGCTGATGATGATGATGATGACGATGTTGTTGAGAATAATGATGTTGAGGATAATGATGATGATTATTTTGTTGAGGAGGATGATAATGATGAGGATGATGATAACGATATTTTTTATGTTGGACATAATAAAAAAGGTGAACAAATATTAATAATAATGATGATTATATATATATAAATTTAATAAACATAATTGTAATGATAACGATGACGTAGCTGATGACGTCAACGATGACGACCGATGATGATGATGATGATGACAACATATTTTTATTAGTCTCTATATATACACGCTAAGATGACGCAAGATGAGCTTAAACAAACTTTCGTTTTGGAAAAACAAAAGGATTATTATTATTATTTTTATTATTATGAAAATTGTTCTTATTGTTAATAATGTTAACGTTTGTTAATAATGTTAAAAATGTTAAGTTATGTTATATAAGTAAGAATTGATACATTGTATGAACAAATCAATAAACTGTACAATACAATACAATACATTATAATACAATACAATATGATACAATACAATATAATACAATACAATTCAATTCAAACAAGAAATGCAATATAATACTATACAACACAATACATACGTACACCCAAACGAACATACAAACAAACAAACAAACAAACAAACAAACAAACAAACAAACAAACAAACAAACAACGCATTTATAAATGATTTCATCGAAACCACATGCACTAGGTACATCTTCGCTTGGCAAACATTTTTTTTAAAATACTGTTTGTTTTTGGCATGGGCATATTAAAATACACGCGCATGCTTTCATTGTACACACACATACATGTATTAACACACATACACCCCCCCACATAAATAGAAAAAGTACACATTTATCATAAATATATCAAACATCCAGTTTGGGTGTTAACAATTTATATGTTTGCTGTTACTCTTTTAATTTTCGCTGCTTAATGGCGTAGTTTGTTGGTGATAATGTTTGTTTGTTCTTTAGGTGTTTTAACGCGTGTTAAAGTTTACAGAAAGTGAATAAACTGTTTTTTAAATTTTTGTAAAACTTCGCAAACTGCAAATTCTGGTTTTTGTCATTTTTTAAATTTTTTTCTAAAATACTTTTGCGATATAAACCAGGGATGTGGATGTTTTACTCTTTTTTCTTTTATATTTGACTGTATTTTATTAGAAAGAAATTTTCATCCCAAATTTCATTCATTTTTTTACTGCATTTCCATCCATCTATCCACACATTTATCCATCCATCTATCCGCACATTCATCCATCCATCTATCCACACATTCACCCATCCATCTATCCGCACATTCATCTATCCATCTATCCACACATTCATCTATCCACACATTCATCCGTTCATTTATGTATACATTCATTCATTTTTTCATTCATCCTTCCGTCAATTCATCCACTCCATCCTCAACATGTTTTATTTTTCCCACCGCATGTGCCTAAAACTTTGCTTGCGGCCAATTCATCACAATTAGTCGATCGTCCTCTCACACAAACACACACATACAACTACACTCTTTCACACAAAACCACACTTACTCTCACACACACACGACCACACTCATACACACACACACACACACACACAACCACTTTTGCATACCTCCTTGTCATACACAGACAGACACTTAAACATTCACACTCAGACACGCAATCCCCAACACAGACATGCTCACTATCAAACATACACACACAGACACTCAGACAGACATGCACCATTTAAATGCACATACGGAGTTAAACTGTTAACAACATCATTCACAACACGCTGACAACAGTAAAGATGCTTCGTTGTCATGCAACTAGCTATTCTAACTTTGATATTATCAATGATGTGTTGCAATGATATATTATCATGTATTGCAAGTTATTCCAGTTAGTCTTTGCTATTTTTATTGTGCAGGCTACTAATTTTTTTATAAAAAATGAAAATTGGAATAATTATTTAAAATTTAGATGAATATGGTGTTTTTCCTCTCAATGAATCACATTCACCTATCTAGAAATATATTTCTTCATTTATAATTGGACCATGGTGCAAACAAATTACAATACAATGAAACTTTTTCTCGCATGTTTGGAAGGTTTAAAATATGAGATGAGAGGAAATATTTTTTAAATAAATACTCGTTCGCATGCGCGGTTGTTGTGTTTCTTGTTCACATTTTTTGCTCGCAAACGTGTGTGTCTGCAGTTTTCCAAGTTTCAAAATTTATTCATCCAGTCCATCATAACACTCATCATTCATTCCACCAGTTCTTTCAATGCACTCGGCCATTCATTCTAATTTTGTTTAAACGTAATATTTCTACTTTTATTTATATATTAATCAAAATTTCATCCAAAAATAAATTTATTTGTTTCATTATTTATTAACATATTCATCAAAATATAAAAATATTTTACTGCAACAATGAAGTTTTTCCTCAAATGTGCATCTGTGTGTGTGCGTGTGCGTGCGTGTGTGCGTACGTGTGTGTTTATGAGAGCGCTCACTCAGGAAAGCCAAGCATGAAATTAAGGACTTGAAGAAAACAATTTCAACAAAGAATCGTTTTGTCGCCATTCCCATCAAGCAATACAATAACTCATTACTTGTCTTTCTAATTTCAGTACAAAACCTTCAAAACCGCACCTTCTTTACGTGTCTACGTGATTTTTTCTTTCAAAGTTAATGCTTGTCTGTCGGCTTGCTTGGTCCACTGCCTGCCTCGCGTGTCTGAAACACCTTTCAAGACATTTATGAAATGTGACACTCCATTCTTCCATTTGTTGCCTATGTATAAATCAACCATACACCTATGCGTATATGTAGAGTTTGTGTTTGTTTGTGTGTGTATATGCGTGTTTGTGTGTGTATGTGTGTTTCTTGTTTTTCTATATATTTTTATTGAACCATACATCCCATGCACTGTCAGCCTTCTCTGTTACATTGATAAAAATTTGTTATAAAAATTTAAAAAAACCAAACATCTGGCAACGGAAATTTTTTTCGATTAAGAACAGCACACTCCTGAAACAAAGCTACTTGCTGAGCTAATTCGAATGACCTTTGAGTACTAGCACTAAACAACAACAAAGCGTAATGGGATGACCAGACCACCCTGTAACTTTTTCTTAAAAACCAACAAAAACATGAACACATACGTATATTTATTTATTTATTTGTTTGTTTATTTATATATATATTTGTTCATATATGTAACTGTTAATTTGTTCAAACAGCTTGTGTTTTTCAGTGTTGAAACCACATTGATCGTAAACGTTTTGTTTATTTTCATGATAAGAAAAAATCACCCAATAACATTTATATTGATAATGATGATAATAATAATAATAATAATAATAATAATAATAATAATAATAATGGAGACTGTTAAACAAACGTAATGAATTGCAGAGACTCCACTATGGCTGCTGTTGAATATCGCTCCAGTACGGAACGAGAAGGAAATCATCGTGCTTTTTGTCCTGACATTCAAGGACATCACTGCCTGGAAGCAGCCAATAGAAGATGATGTTTCAAAAGGTTTCTCATTTTTTATTCATCCTCTGCTCTGATTGGTTAATAAATTTGTATGTAATTGAGTTATTAGATTATGCTACATACAGTTTGAGATAGAGTGATATTGTTTAGGGTATTTTGAGTTGACATTTTTAAATGTTGTGTTAAAATTTTAGATCTCAATTGAAAATGAAACTTTATGACGAAACTTATAAAAATAGATAAAATACAATTCTTATTATTTAATGGACGGAATCGTGCAACTAAGAAACGAATGACGCAAATTGCGGGAGAGTTCAAGAAATTTAACCAGCAAACAACATTAACAATCATCGAATACATTATAAAAAACCATTTTAAATCAGGACTAAAATTAATGAATTGAATAGCTCATCAGTTAACAGACGACAGATAATGAATATTTTAAAATAATATTATTAAGATAATAAATAAAATTATAAATTTCATTCTTTTATAATTTAAAAATTCAGTAAGATGTTTGAAAGCACTTGAACGCGTTTATCGATTAAGCAAATGAGAAAGAATTAAAGTGCAAACCGAAACATTAGGAAGAAGAAATCTTTTGAAATGTTTCACAAGTGTTCCGCTCACACACACATACACACACGACACACAAATACATACACACATACAAACACACACACACATACAAACACACACATGCAAACACATCATATACAATTTACCAAATGGGATACATTTGTCTCGAAACCTTGGTGTTTAATTAAAAAAATTTGTATTTAATAACTTCAATTGCAAATATACTTTTTAAATTGTTGTCCATAAATAATTTTATATGGAAAAATGAATAATTTAAATGAAAATAAGCGAGACAACTCACAAATTGTTAGTTAGTACCTACTCAGTGTAGCACGTTTTATCGGCAGTATTGAAACAACGAAACATGGGGTAGGCACAGAGATGGAGTTGAACGCGCGTTAAAACATTACAAAAATACTTAACTCAATCAGATCTGCTTCACAGCTGTTGTCTGCCTAACCTTTCTATGCCTGCTTACCTTTGCCTACCTACATGCACAAACATGTTTTTTGTTGTACATCTTGTGAACGTGTGTTATACAACTTCACAGTATGAAAATATGTGCAAGCTTGTATTACTGTTAATTTTATTATCACCTTATTTTATTTTATATCAATATAAAAAAAAACAGTATTTCAAATGAAGTTGTTGAAGTTTGCAACTGTTTGTGATGGGATATGGTGGTATGGATCAATAATTTTATGATTCAGCAAATATTATTGCCCCGCGATCATTAATAAATCTCACAAAATTATAATGAAAATTGGTTAGTTTACATAGTAAAAAAATCATCTCAGATTATTCACACAAAATAAAATACGAATTTGTATTGTTATCACATTTTACAAACAACTGTTAGCCATACAAACAAGTTTGTAAATTACTCGTTAAAATATATGTCGATGCTTATATATGAATAAAAAAATTCAGTCATTTTCCTATTTCTTTCTTTAGTGTACATTCTCATAAACAAACATATTGAATTACAACATGCAGGTATGCACTTATCACATGCAGCTTCATTAAACAAACACACGCGCAAACATAAGTTTATTTAGCTAGATTTATTTTACATTTTTTTGGATCAAAGATATGCATTCAAACATTTTTATGGCACGCACATATTCATGTTTTTAGTTATGTAAAAAATTGACAGTTTTTCAGTTACAATGGGTCAGGTTACATTATAACATTAATGTTCGTTTGTTTATAAAGCCATCATCACTTACTCTTCTCGTGTTGATATGTAATGATATATATCTATTTTAGTAGTATCCAGTAACATTATTATCAATGTTTTTAATGCTGTCAAGTTTATTAGTATCAATGTAGATAGATCACTGATTAAATTGGGACCAGTTTTGCCAATACAACCGACGAATTCTTCATTCTCAACTTCAGCACATTAACATCATTATTATTAGAGTTATATTCATCATCTTAACTAACATCATCATTATCCTTAACGTTATCATTATCTTCATTATCTTTGACATCATCGTTATCATCATCTTCGTCATCGTTATAGTCATCATAATCAAAACGGTCGTCATCATTAAGATAGATGAAAGGTCCATGGCTGGATCACGCAATCTCTATTAAAACCAAAACATCAGATACCATAAAATTAAGCATTCCTCTATCCAACTATTTTTTCTCTTTTTGCCCTTCCTTTCAATCTTTACTTTTTTTCTTTCTTTCCACTCATCACTGTTTTCATCTATTTGTCTGGTCAATATATTTGTTGAGATGTTTTTAATTTATCACCTATAAACTTTTGAAGGAAATGATGATATGAGTGAGAGCGAATGATAAGGACAGATGACTATGATGACATCATGGTTATTGTATGTGTCACGAATTCTTTCTTATTTTAAGGCTCTAGTTAATAAAATTACGCCAAACAGTATTTTCATTAAGTTTTATTTTAACAAACAGAATGTTAACTAAACAGTTGATTAACAAATGAATATTAACTAAAATAGTACGGCAAAATTAAACATCAAAACTGTCATCACGCTTTTCAATGTCACCTTCTAACAACCACTAAACTAAACTGGTTTATCTAATCGCCTCAGTGGCTCTAAACTATTAAGCGCTAAGCGCATAAGTTTGGGGATCGTCACAGTATGCTGATAAAAATGTGATGATGATAATAACGATGATGGCAATTTTATGGTGATGACGATGATGTAGCGGTTGATGATAAATTGATGGTTGGTGAGGTTGATGATGTTACTGTTGATGTCAATGATGTTGATGAAGATGTTGATGAAGATGTTGATGATGATAACGATGTCAACTTAACTTACCATCTTCCATTCATACATCACGAACTGCTTCAAGCTAACTCTCCTATCATCCATCCATCCAATCATCCATTCAAACATTCATCCATCTATTCATTTATTCTATTCGTTCAATCAACTGTCATCCCATTCACAAACCCATATATTTGATTCATTTGCTAATTATCCATCCATCTAACTATCTATTAAAGTTTTTATCCTTTCAATTATTTATCTATCCAAGCAATCGTCCTTTTATTCATCCATTTAACCATATTTCTATCCATCCATCTAATCAACCACTGATCCATTCATCCATCTATCCATTCATCTATCTATAAACAAATACAGACAAACAGAAAAACAGAACAAAAAGAAACGAACGTCATTTATGGTCAGTCGTAATGAAAGTGAACGGAGGAGAGTCATGAATTGAACATGTTGAAATAAACAAAAAGAATAAAAACAAAAATGAAAGACAAAAACAAACGATGCCATTAAATTGAATTACATTGTTTAAAGCATGGTCGGCCATATTGAATTAACTCTCCCTCTTCTCCATCTGAAAATGAAAGGTTTTTAACGACGGGGGAATGAACTCTCCCATGGCAAAATTATGCTCCAGAAATGATGATGACGAAAAACTTGTGGAACTTGTGATGAAACAACACTAACAACTACAATAACAACAACAACAACAACGATGATGAAGATGATGATGATGATGGTGAAGCGAAGAAGAGGAGAAGGAGGAAGATGATGATGGTGGTGATGATAATTAGGGTGGTGGCACTGACATGATAATGGTTTTGGTGGTGGTGGTGATGGTGAGTACAAAGATAAATAAATTTATTAGAGTCTTAAGAACGCAGATGAGTGTCTTAATGATTTTAAACATGATGACGTAAATACTTACAACAAACATTACTGATTAGTTTGATTTTTTTTAATTAACAATTTTTTTGAAAAATATGTAGAATAAATATTATGAAGTGATTTTTTTTTCATTTCTATAAGTTTATTCATTTTTTCGGTCAAATTTTTTTAACTTCTTTGTATATAATGTATTTTCACATCATCAAATAATTATTTAAAGACGCAAATCCGTTCTGACAACACTATTGGCCATTTGTCATTTTACGATCACTATTACCCTCACCCATTTCTGCCGACAAACTCAACAGCATGCCATCCATCACCATCCCCCAGCTTCCATTACCACCGTCCGCCACCAGCGTCTATCAGCTTTCACCACCACTGACATGCCACTTGCCACATAAACGGTCTCATAAAATCTTCACTGGACAGCAACCGCTTGGTTGATTAATTGATGACGTTGTTGTTGCCCTCAACGATGCTGCTAATCAAATCAGCATTAAAAATTAAATTAGCATTAGCAATTAGCTTCGTAATTAAATTAAATATAATTATTCAACGAGTGATTGTGAGCGTATGTGGAGGAAACTTTAAAGCCAAAGAAATATGACACACACATTCGCACACGCACACACACGCACGCACACAAACACATTGTAGTTATCGGCAATCGGGGGATTCAAACTCAATAATACGTTTTGCTTGATGGAATGAATGTGTGTTTTGTGAGAGCTGTGCAAACAATGGTTATGAATGATTTAATAAGAAATGAATGATTGAATGGCAGAATGATTAAGTGAGAGAAAGATTGAGTGAGAGAATGAAAAAGTGAGATAGTGATTGAGTGAGGGGGTAAATAAGTTTGTTGATGAGCGGACGAATGATAGATTAGATTGACACTGTCGCGAAAAGCTCTGAATAGTTAAACGGAGTTGAATAAAAACATGAGAAAATATTTATTATGATACCGAGATGATGATATCAAGATGATGATTCAATAAGATGATATCAAGATGATGATGATATCACGATTATACCATTACTTAGCATGATATCAGTAATTAATGAAAAATATATCGATAAAAAATTGAAAAAATTAAGAAATTTTTTTTATGCAAGTTTACATTAAAAAGATCTTTTTATTGAGTTTAATTGTATTAAATATCTCATTGGGGAATGAAAAAGATTAAAAAGAATATGAAAACAGATTATTTATTCATAGTATTGATGATGATGACGACGACGACATTGATGATGATGAAAAAGAAGTTGTTTATGCTGTTGTTGTTTATGCTGTTGTTGTTTATGCTGTTGTTGTTTATGCTGTTGATGTTTATGATGATGACGATAATGTTGCTGTTGTTGTTGTTGTTGATGACGACGACGACGATGACGACGACGATGATTAGCATGACAACGTCATAAATATTAAAGCAGGTAATAATGACAACCGCTATATAAATGATGGCAGGGTTGAACATATTAAAAAAATTATTATTGCCACGATGACTTTCTATGTGGGAGAAAAAAAATAACCAAAATTGATAACCATAGTGACGGTAATGATGATGAAGAAGAGTAAGATAATGACGACGATGATGGTGACGACGATTACCAACTGTTTGCCGGAAGCTAGTGCTGATGACGTCATGGCTATCTACGACAGCGCTGACGTCATCGCACTTAAAGATATCATCTTCGGGCATCTATTTCAGATATTTACGACGTCTAACACTAGTCCTTCCGGCGTTTTTGTCTCCCGCCATTTTTTCTTTTTTTTTACGTCTGCGAATCGTTTTCAAAGTCACCATATTGTTATCTACGCGCCATTGTCGTAATTATGAATGGGGTTTTTCCATTTGTAGGAAAGATAAACGTTTCTAATGAGATTCAAATTAATGATTTTCATGTCTATGTTGCATCATTCATTGCTATAAAAGTTGATTTGTCATTTATTATCGCCATTGTACATTTTATTGTCTATGTAGCAATAGTAATTTGCAAGACAATTTATTTGTTTTTACATGTTCAGTATGATGTTTTTATGTGAAGTTTGTTTGCGAAATTGTGGGTTCGCTAATTATATTTTTGTGTAAATATACATTGCAGTTTATATTTTGTCGATGTTTATCTAAGTTAAGGTCTGTGGTGTCAATTATCATTGTGTTTAATGACACTTACTTTACAGGAACCTAAAAATAAAAATGTGACATCGGATGGTTAACTTTCAATCCGTTGCAATTTACGGCCACTTTTGGAAATTTTTTCAAATTTACCAAAAATTCATTTCAGTGCTTTGAATCATTTAATAATAATAATTATTAACCATCCCTATACATTCGCCGAGATATGTTTAGGAGTGAATTTAAAAAAAAAAAATAAATAAAACATTTATTTTTAAATTTTAGCATAACGAAAGATGAAAAATAATTTTGTTACCCACTCATCTCATGAAACAGCTGGCCTCAGCAAGTTTGCGCGTCTGGCCAGGAGTGTAGCTAGGTCGAAGTCGTCGGCCCAACAGCACTACACCCAACAACATCAACACAATCAACAACAGCAACAACAACACCAGCAACAACATCAACATCAGCAACAACATTCTCAACAAGTTTCCTTACTAGCCTCAACAAACCATCAAATGAAGATGGATGTGCAGCCAAAACATTCGCAATTGAGTGGTGTAAGTTTTTATTTCCAGGCTTTCCGTCTGAATTTATATTTTTTTAATGCTGTTCATTTTAAAGTTAAATATTTTTGGTTCATTTTTTATTCATTCATTCATTCATTCATTCATTCATTCATTCATTCATTCATTCATTCATTCATTCATTCATTCATTCATTCATTCATTCATTCATTCATTCATTCATTCATTCATTCATTCATTCATTCATTCATTCATTCATTCATTCATTCAATCAATCAATCAATCAATCAATTAGTTATTGAGATTTATTTCCCTCACGTATCATTTGTTCAAGTTAATTTTATTTCAGAAGTGGTGAAGAAGTTTTCAAATAAATTCTCGCGAGAACAATTTTATTATCTGACTAAAAAAATTAAATTTGAACACAATTTTTTAAGAGCTTGTTGAAAAAACGAATAATAGCATTCATCATCCAACTGAAAACGTGTTAATTACATTTAGACGAAGTAAGAAAAATATGAAAAAAAATTTGATTAAGTCAGTTGATACGCGAACAAACAAATGAATTGTAAGGCACGCCGAGACAAAAAAGAGGTAGAACAAATAATATTGCGAAAAAAATGTTAAAATATCTGTGAAATAAAGGAATAATTAACTAAATAAATATAATATAAATAATGAAAAATAAAATTTTAATTTTAAATTTTATATGCAGTCATCAGGATTAAACCCTGAGGTGCTTCCCTACTACAGGCAAGAGGCCCCAAAGACACCCCACCACATCATCCTCCACTACTCTGCCTTCAAGACAATCTGGGACTGGATGATCCTCATACTCACCTTCTATACATCTGTCATGGTGCGTTTGTGGGTGGCGGGAGAGTGTTGATGGGGATGGTGATAGTGATAATGATAATTTTGATGATGATGATAATGATGGTGATAATGATGATGGTGATTTTGATGATGATGATGGTGATGATGATGATAATGATGGTGATAATGATGATGATAATAATGATGGTGATTTTGATGATGATGATGGTGATGATGATGGTGATGATGGTGGAGATAATGATGACAATGATAATGATGATGGTGGAGATAATGATGGTGACGATGATGACGATGATGAGGGCTATGATAATGATGATGATTACGCTAATGATAGCGGGGGTGATGATGATGACGGTGAGAAGGAGAAAAAGGAAGATGACGATGGTTATAATTTGCTTTCGTTAAGACCATTTTTGAAAAAAAACCACATGTTTCAGTGTAAAAAATTTATGGTAGAATTAAAATAAAATATAAAATAATTAACGATATGAATGTAAAAATGAATACAAAAGAATAAAAATAAATTTTCTAAAATGTTCAAGAAGAACATTTGTGCCGCCATTCATTATCTGGTGATGTTTCATTGTAATTAGCGCAGACGCAGCATATATAAACACGCATTAAACCTGCAAACAACGCATTAATCACAACAACAACAAAAAACTTAATCAGAATTAGACCATTCCAAAACGTGTAGACATGGAATATTTTAAAGTATAAACAGACATCTAAACATGTCTGAGCCAGAAATAAATGCGTTAGATAAAAAAAAATAACCACACCCCGACAGCAAGGTGAACATTAAAAATAAAATAAACACAACTTTTAACTACAGAATTACAACAAAGTCAACATAACAACGACATTTCAGGAAATAAAAATTTTGATTTAAAAAAAATTACGTTTCTTAAAATATTCACCGTCTGCTTGAAAAGTTGAAACCACAGCAGTCATTTTAGTCACTTTATCAATAATTTTTCTCAATTTCACTATCTCACCGCTAAAACATTTCATTTCTATCACCATTGCTGTCAATTTAGCATCACGACAACATCATAAGCATGCAGTTTTTAATAAATATTTCCTCGAAGGTACCTTACAACGCAGCTTTCCGCAGCAAAACGATCGGCGACATACCGCTATTGGTGGTTGACAGCGTTGTTGACGTCATTTTCTTCCTCGACATCGTCCTCAACTTCCACACAACTTTTGTGGGGCCGGCTGGCGAGATAGTCTCCGATCCGAAGATAATTCGGATGAATTATCTCAAGAGCTGGTTCGTCGTCGACCTACTCTCATGCCTGCCTTACGATGTCTTCAATGCTTTCCAACACGTTAACGAGGTAGGTCGGCTTCTTGTCTGTTTCTACGCTCTGTTGGAATTTGATAATAATAATAATGATAAATAATAGTAATAATAATACTAATAAATGATTATCGAACCACATAATAATAAAAAATAATAATAGCAACATAAAAAATGGTAATAATAATAAAGACAGAAGCATAACAATATTAACGATAACAATGATAATGTTAATATTTACAGTTATTTTTAGATCCATTTGTTGTGAAAGTTTCAAATCTTTATTTTTGATTAATTTACGCGCGAACTTGGGAAAAACAGAACGTAAGTTTTAGATGTCCATTTTGTTTTTTTTTTGTTTACTCATTAAAAAATATTAATTATTTTTTTATTTATTTAAATAAAAGATAATCGTAATATCTTTGCTTGGTTCTGTTTATTTATTTTTATTTAATCATTAATTTTTTTTTTATTGTTGTAAGTTTCAATTGAAACCGTAATTGCTATCACCACCATCATCATCATCGTCATCATCATCATCATCGTCATCATCATCATCATCATCATCATCATCATCATCATCATCATTGTCGCTACCAGCATCAAAGTTTTTCATCTTGGTCATCATCCTCATCATTAATTACTCTCACAGTCATTACCAACATTGCGAAAGTATGAGAATAAAAGCATTAAATGAATGAAATATTAATAGACGAACTTAAACATATAGAAAAATAGTTGTCATCATTTATAGTTTGTCAAACTGCCATATACAAGAATAATATAACTTCCGAAGTATACAAAAATTCAGATAACAATTAATCAAACTTTGTTAAGTGCAAGCATGAAATTGTTCAATGAAAGGGCAAAAATTTGCTCCCAAACAGACATTCAACATAAAATACAAACATTCAATATGAAATACAAACATTCAACACGAAATACAAACATTCAATATGAAATACAAACATTCAAGATGAAATACAAACATTCAAGATGAAATACAAACACACAATATGAAATACAAACATACAAACACACTGCATTAAAAAACCCATCCGATAAGTATACAAGCAAACATGGGACGAATGCTGAGTGGAAAGTAACGTACGAGCTAGCGTTCATTCATATCAGAAATCTTAATGTGCAAACAAAACTCAAACAATTAAATGCAATTTTTTAACAAATATCTAATTAAACAGCCCATAATTCGACGCATAAAATAAAAATAGCAAACTTAGAAATATAAAAAAAACTGAAGATAAAACAAAACGCAATCATGTTTGCAAACAAACATAATAAATTGTACAAACAAACAAATGAATGAACAAACACATGAACATACAAACACACAAACACACAAACACATACAAACTGACAAACAAAACTGCAGAGTATAAGCAGTCTCTTCAGTGCCTTAAAAGTAGTTCGCCTCTTAAGGTTGGGTCGTGTGGCTCGCAAGTTGGACCACTACATCGAGTACGGGGCAGCAGTCCTGGTCCTCCTCATTTTTATGTTCGTCCTGATAGCGCACTGGTTTGCATGCATCTGGTTCACCATCGGAGACTCGGAGGCGAGAGCGGGCATCTCCTATGGATGGCTGCATCGGCTCAGTCGAGAAGTGGGTGAGCAGAACTTCTTTTTAGTTATTTTACTTTCTTCTCTCTTTCTCTCTCTCTTTCTTTGTGTGTGTTTGTGTTCTTTTGTTTGCCTTTCGTTCGTTTGTTTGCTGCTTGTATTATTTTACAAAACTAAAACGCCAAATTATATACAAATTATAAAAGTAGGATATTTGTAAATTCGGTTATACCTACAAGCATGAATGAACTTGGAAAAAATTCCTAACAAATATTAACATTAATTATTATCATTATTGTAATTACAATTGTCAATATTATCACTACCTTTTTCGTCATATCAATTACTTAAAATGACTGAAGCGAATAACTACTTTCACACAAATTTTAGTAATTTAAATATAACCAAAACCCCTTCCTTAAGGTCCCCTGTACTACTACTCCAACACATCAACGAGCCCACCACATTGGGAGGGAGGGCCCTCAAGTACGATGGCCTATGCAACTGCCCTCTACTTCACACTTTCCTGTATGACCAGTGTGGGGTTTGGCAACGTGTCAGCTTATACGGAACTGGAGAAAATCTTCTCCGTCTTTATGATGATTTTTGGATGTTGGTTAATCTGTTTTGTGGCTGTTGTTGGTTTTTTGTTTGTTGTATTTGTTGTTGGTGTCGTGATTTTTTTGTTTCTGTATTGTTAGTAGTAATTTTTTGTTTTAAAATATTTTAAAATTTTCATTATTTAATTATTAAAGTATTTTATCATCAACATCGACAATATACATTTTAACTCATATTTCTGTTTGATTTTTTACGTCATAATGTTTAAAGATTTCTGGCAACGATAAAAAATTAATGACAAGCCGAAAAACTCATAAAGAATAATATTGGCAAGGGAACGAGCAGAAAGTGAGCTACTCGCCAATTCATTGGCAGTGCAGGTAAATAAACAAACAAACAAATGAACGAACAAACCAACAACAAACAAACAGAAGATAAGGACATATTGCATTCCAGCATTAACTTTTTATTAGCACTACGCACGCTCTTCCTAAACAAGCGCTGAATAGTTCTGCGTTCAATTGCGTAACTTTGATAAGAAACAAAAGCAAGCAAGCATAAAAAACATGACACAGTGAAACGTTCTGAGATGAATTAATATTTTTTGGATAGTTTTATTTCTTTAAAAATTCTATAAAATTCTTATTTGTAGTTTGTTATCACAAATAAGCATACATGCAGAAATTGTCCAATTTTACAATTTTCGAATCAACCAATTGGTAAGCCAGCAATCAATCGCGTCTTTGTCCTACTCTTTTCAACTGAACAACTCAATACACTTCAACCTGTCGACCAGCCAGCCAACCAACCTACCAGACAACCAACCATCAACCAGCCAACCAACCAATCGGCTAACTAACCAACCAACCGATAAACATTAAACAAGCGAACGGGACGTTCACCAGCTGTTCTACAATATACAATTGACAATCAGTTTTGTTGAAATATCCTTTCAATACCTGTCATGTCGTGTTGAGCATTCGCAAAGAGCTGCATTCAAGCCACATGTGAACAACTGTTGAGAAACAAATTAAGAGTGATATCACTATTCTGTTTTCTAATAAAACATGCTCATATAGAAATATTTATTTCTAACTCTCCAACAATTCATATAGGAATATTTATTTATAACTCTCCAACAATTCATATAGAAATATTTATTTCTAACTCTCCAACAAATAACCCACGCATCGAATGTAAGCTACGAAAAGGTCTGATATGAACGAAAAATTTACAATTGGACAGATAAAAACAGAGAGAAAAAGGGAGAGAGAGAAAGAGAGAGAGAGAGAGAGAGGGAGAGAGTTACTAAAAAAGTAACAACGTTTTCGTATCCTCGTTTGAAAAGATTGATTCCAATGCACACTCCCAATTATTTAAGACAGCCCTTGTATTTCATTGACTTTCAGGATCCACTCAACACGAGCCTCGCACTTATATTTTCATGCATAAACATGCGCGGCCGTCAAGAGTTAGAACAAACATGGAAGTGGGCAAACAATAGGAAATACGTGCCTACATGTCTGCATTTATGTTTTGCATGCGTTTGCATGTTCAGGCATTCTACTTATTCTGTTAACATTCTGTTGAAAGAATACATATGGGAAATGAAATTAAATAAGTATTCATGTAAATGTAAATATTGGAAAAATGGATGAACAAATAAAGATAACAATGAGCATGAACATTAAGATCAATCTTTCCCACACACATACACACACAAACACCCACACACAAACACCCACACACAAACACAATCGGTCATCCTCACGACCATAATGGCTTCTGAAATGACCATCAATAAATACAGCAGGCGCAATATTATAACTGACCTGCCGATTTAATTCTCTGAGCAAGTGGCTGATTTTCAATTTTGGACACGAAAAATGAAATTCTGTATAATGTTTTTCGGTTGTCTTTTATGCATTCACTCCTTTTAGATTATGTTGATTTTGACTTGAACATCTTGCAGTTTGAACTCAACTGAGCAGTGGCGATTTATTATTTCATGAAAACGGCCCAAACAGTTTCGATTTTTCAATTTTTATGAAAAGTTTGTTATGAACTTATAGACCACATGATAGTAAGTAAACATTCAGAAATAAATACAAACGAACTGACGAATGGATGAACAAACAACAATTTTTTGTCCATAAAAAAGAAGAATATGTTTGCAGGCTGTCGCATAGACATATCAGCTGACATCTTCAACTTAAATCAAACACTTACGTACGTGTCAAAGCACAGGCATTCTTTATGACTATGTACAATTGTGCTTTCTTCTTTGTTCTGTTGCGCTTGCGTTTGCTTAAACTGTGTGAGTGTGAGTGTGTGAGTGCGTGTATGTGTAATGTTTCAAAATGTTTTTTTTTTTATACAAATAAGTTGCATTTTATAAGGTAATTGTTTATAGAGTTAATAAACTAGACTCATATTTATAGGACATAAACAAAACACATAGACGCACAACAGCGCATGCGTTTCACAGCGCAATGCATTCCCCTCCCGTCCATGTGCATTGTGCATGATGAACGAACATTCATCCGGTTTACAGGTACGTCAAAAATGGAAAAAACTGTACGACGCGCATACACAACGAACATACCTACTCTATAAATACTTGGAAACGTGTAAACGTAAAAAAAAATAATCACAGCACTTATACACGGACACACACACACACATGCACACACACACATACAAAAAAGAATATAAAAAACGTGAACAGTGCAAAAGAAAATACAATTTAGCTTTATATGCCAAAGTATTATTTCACCTGCCTACTCGGTATACATGCTTAAGTTAGAACAAATACATATCAACATATAAATACGTGTAGGTTATAAAGGGAGAGAAAGAGAGAGAGAGAGAGAGAGAGAGTGAGAGAGAGAGAGTGAGAGAGAGAGAGAGAAAGAGAGTATGAGTGAGAATCAAATGTGGAAACTGAAATCACTTTTCCCGCGTGTGTATTACGCCTCCAGTGATTGTATATGTGTAGGAGTTATTTCACATTTCATGCATTCTAGTATTTTTCTATTGCACAAATTTTACCATTAGCGTACAACCTCTGCTGAAAGTTGATACCTTTTAAAAAAATAAAACTACAAAATAACAAAAAAATCTCACATAAAAATTCGTCTTAGCTCCTCTTTAATGATGTTTAAATGAAAAATTTAAAAACATCAACTCACAATTTGTGGATTGAGCTTCTTATGCGCTGTCAAAACGGGCGGTGGCGGGCGACAAACATCCTGCTATTAATTAGACGAGATATTTTCAAGGGAAAGGAAATGTGTGTATTTGTGAGGGGCAAACAAATAACTAAATGTGGATTGCTGGGATATTGTTACACACGCTCCAGGAAAGCGAAGTGATGCATGTCTTGTATCCCTGAAGGTCTTCCACCATTTTAAGGAAGGAATTGATTTTCCTTTTGTTTAACCATCTGACATATTATTCGATAATAATGAATATTTTGGTTTGCACGTGTATGTGTTTTCCATGTGTGTGTGTGTGTATGTATGTATGTGTGTGTGTGTGTGTGTGTGTGTGTGTGTGTGTGTCCTTTTATAAATGAGTGTATGTGTGTCTTGTAATAAGTGCGTGCGTGAATGTGTGTCCTGTTTTAAGTGCGTGCGTGTGCACTGACGTCTGCACGTATGTGAACGACGTACGAGTGTATGTCTACATGTAAGATCGATTTGCATTGTTCTTTATATTCATATGCAAAGGGATGGATTGATGAGTGCAAACTCATATGGAATGTACGAACATGTTGTAATAGTACACGTGCGGATGTTTTCCTCTCCCTCTCTCTTTTTATCTCTTTTTTCCTCTTTCTTTCTCTCTACTTGTATTGATAGTTTTGTCTGTACGCAAACAAGTTTGTCTATTTTTAGCGGGTAGACGACGTACGTGACTATGCTTTGTTTTTTTGAATTTGTTAATCTTTCAGTTTTGCTTCTTATCATTAATATCTTTTACAACTCTTCCAAAATTCATGTTATGAGCAAAACTCATCAACAGCAATCATCTAGGTTAGCTACGCTAGCTAACGTAATTAAACAGGACAACAACGTTCTCAATCATTTAATTGCAGAAGGCTCGGCGGTCCTATCATTTCAACGTTTGCAATAATTTCGTTCCTCCATTCTAAGAAATTTCACCTCTACGCTTTCTATTTATCCAACCAAATTATCTACTTAATTATCAATTTATTTGTTTGTCCTATTCAACTTTTTTCATTTGTTTTCTAATTTCATCTATCCAAGTAGGACTTATGAACGCGCTGCTAGCTTCTAAACGGCTATTTAGAAAATTCTTTCAATTTCAGTAAAATATGTTGGCATAGAGACGACACTGAAGTTACTTTTTTAAACTGAAGTTTATCCTTTAGAATAATAAACATTTTTATAAACATTAAACATATATAAACGATGAAACTTTCTCTTCTTTATATGCATAAACCATGTGTACCAATGTAAACATTATTTATAATGCAAGATCTCGCAGACAAAAATATTAAGCATTATTTGGTTTTCAATAGGATAATGTTCATTGGTTTTTTTTGCACTAATGTAATTAAAAACTTTGCTGCACATGATACGGCATTGTTGTTTGTTTTGCTGTCTGTATTGTTTTGTTGTTTGTTTTGTTGTTTGTATTGTTGTTTGTTTTGCTGTTTGGATTGTTTGTTTGTTTTGCTGTTTGTATTGTTTGTTTGTTTTGCTGTTTGTGTTGTTATTTGCATTTGTTTTGTTTTTTTTTTGTTCTTTCTTTGTTATTAGTGTTGTTATTTCCAACAATCTCCCTCTTCATTAATGATTCGATGCACATTGACGTATTCGTTAACAGTTGTTTCAATGTTGACTTGACTGGCAGCCATCACCATGTTAACTCTGATAAACATAGACTCGCAAATGTTCACAGTGGAAGGAAGTAATGCTACTTCCGATAACTTTAAATTTTTACACTTTCAAACTTTCATATTTTATACATCAAATTTAAAATTGAATTATAAGATAAAATAATAATAAGCATATGCCAATATGTAACAAACTATTATATATATTTCTCAATTGAGATGCTAGAACACTTTTATGTCTCTCATATGGATGATATATATAACATCATAATATAGTCATACCCGTAGTAATAAACGTAAATCTATAACGAAGCAAGGTGAATTATGATTCAATAACAATTTAATAATAAATTTGTTATTTTCCAGATAAAAAATTACATTTACATATCCAACAACCGATACATACATTCCATACCAAATGAAATAGTGATGTTTTTTGGAGATACGTCTTGTTGTTGCGTGTTGATGTGCTTCAAATGCTACATGCACTGGCAAAACAACTAAAAACTACAAGTCCGCCGTGATGTTGACAGCTGATATGATGCGGTGCTTGCGATCGCACTAGAGTAATGTGTTTGTACGTGGCCTGGTTTGGTTGTTGCAGTTTTTGTGGGATAAAACTTCAATCGCCAGTAAGTAAGGAACGATTTGTTAGCGCTCTACATCTGATGAAACAAGAAAAAAGACTGATCAACTATTTTTTTGTGTCACACCAAACACGAACTAGGCAGCCAGGCACAATCTGCCGATGTTTATTTATAATTTATTACTACAGTGATCGGGTAGCGGAGAATAACATGCCTTCGAAATAAATTACACGATACAAAATGTTCATTATCATCGATGGGGGATGAATTGTCGACGTTCAACAGGCCATCCCTGTTCCCGGCTATGAAGCATTTTATGAGCGTACTCTCAATGATACGATGGCTCTGGGATCAATATTCAATTTGGAGTGTAATGATTGAAAAGAATTAATGCTATTATTATTGTTATTATTGTTATTATTGTTATCGTTATTGTCATTGGATGTCAACTTTTATAACATTAGCTGCTATGTTAAACACACACACACACACACACACACTTTTATAACATTAGCTGCTATGTTAAACACACACACACACACACTTTTATAACATTAGCTGCTGTGTTAAACACACACACACACACACACACGCATACTACTAAATATGATGATACGACCTGAGGAACCTATGATAGAAAATTGATAGATTCATGCAGAGGAGAATGTTATGAGACTTTTATTAACATTTTATGTACATTATTTTTGTACTTTTTTGTGTACTTTACTTACATACTCACACGAACAAGCACACATTGAAGCAGTGTATAGTTGCGCAGGTTTGTGTGTGTGTGGCGTTTGGAGTATGACAAATTTGTTAACGATGCTAATAAATGAATGTTTCAAATGCAGCGATCGTGTTGAGAAAATATCGTTAAAATTGAAAAAAGGGCCACTCAAATGTTCCAATTTCTGACTTTTTTTTCTCTCTTTCTTTCTCTTACTGTCTCTCTCTTTCTCTCTCTCTCTCTCTCTCTCACTCTTGTTCTTTATCTACAAAAAACACACACAAACATATATATATATATGTACATACACACATACAACACACAATGTTAGACTGCAGAAGTCCAAAAGAAAGAAAAAGTGACAATGGAAGAATGCACTGGAAAGCACAAATGTACACCTTTGTTTGTGCACACATGTAAGCAGACACTCAATGAGATGATGAGATTTTTACAGCGTACCTACATTGTGTGCACACCTGTTGATTGTACAACGGCAGGTAATCCAGGTGCACACGGATGGATGGATGGTTGGCTGGCTGGATGGATAGAAGGATGGATGGATAGATAGATGGATGAATGGATGGATGGATTAATAGTTGACTAAAGGATGGATACATACATACACACAAAATTAATTTCACCATAACAGAAATAAACTGCTTAATGTTTGTTGGAAAATTCGATGGCTTATATTTACCCTGTTGTATATATTTACATACCATCGCGTATTAATATAAATATTTGTTAGTTCTTTGTGATTTTTTGTACCTTATTTCATTTTTCTATTATTATGGTTATTATTATAATCTATAAACAAGTAATTTTGAAGCAGTCTTCATTTGAACGAGCCCAGTAGTGTGTGTGATTTGTTTGTTAATCGCTGCCTGCATGCGTGCTCGGGTGCTTCGATGACTGCTCTCAAATCGAACGCTTGTATTGTTTTGTTTTGTATTGTATTGTATTCATTGTATCGCATGTTAGTACTGTAATGCACGTTGTGTTTTTACTGTATTGTATGAGTTGTATTTGTATTGTATGCATTGTATTTTATGCATTTTTTGTATACCTTGTAGTTATTTATTGAATGTGTTTTTATGACCAAAAGCATTTACAAACATACAATATTTTATTTTAACAAAATGCAGCACATGTGGCTGTTTTGTATGTGTTAGTATGCGTGTATGTAAACATGTATACGTCTATGTTAGTATGAAGCATAGATATATGCATTTAAAAAATTTGCAAATAATGACCATTGTTGCTGAGCTTAACGCAATGAAAAGTTTTTTTAGGTTGTAAAAGAATTGGTTTTGGACAATTGAGGAAAGGAAACTAATTGAGCTCATCTGTTTTGCTTTGTATACCTTTATTGGATGTATGTTGTTGTGTTGTTGTTTTGCCGTTGTCGTTGTTGCTGCCGCTGTTTGAGCGACAAGATGTTGCAGTGGTTGAGGTTCCTGGTCCTGTTGTTGCAGCGTCTGCGTTCGAATGCATAGAGATCTTCGTCACTCTCACATGTTGCGTTAATTCATGTGTGTTCCTGTTCATGTGTGCTGCGAGTGAGTGAGAACCACGAAAAAATTAATAATAAGAATAATGAGAATAAAAATAATAATGATAATATTAATAAAAATAATGTTTTTAATTGTTACTGTAGATAATGGAATGTTGCATTAGCTATTTTAATGAAAATGTTTTCCTAAATTTAAAATAAATAATGTTGGAGTAATTCAGTGTGGTTGATGTTGCTTTCGTAGTTGTTGAGTTTTTTAATGTTATGAGGGTAATGACGGTGTTGATGTTGTTGTTCTTGATGCCGTTGTTGTTGCAACCATTAATGTTGTTGTCGTTTTTTACGTTATTGTTATCATTTTAATTTTTAATGATATTGTTGTTATTATTTGTTGTTATTGTTGTTGCTGTTGTTGTTTTTGTTGTTTTCGTTGTAATTGTTGTTGTTGTTGTAACCACTGTTATTTTTCTTGATGTTATTGTTGCTATATCGGTCTCTTACACACTCGATGTATGACTGCTTCTTCGTTCGCTGTAGACATGGTTATTTATTTCGGCATTGTAAATAAATTAAAGTAAAATATCTACATATACAAAATTCAGGCGTAAATACATATGAATATACATAATTATATATAAATTTGTATATAGTATATGTATGTTTATGCATAATATATAATGTCCTAATTCTTTTTAATTTTTTATTAAATTTATTTATTTAATTGAATAATTTTAGAAAATAATCGCCGTTTTGTTTTATTGGAAGTTAAAAATGCATTCCTGACCCACCAACCCTGCTCAGCCATACTTTATGTTGGTCCAAAACCTCATGTCGGTTACGACAACTCAGCGTTTTTCCGTAAACACTCACTCTCAACCATTCGAGACAAACCAATCAAAAATTAGCTAATTACAAAATCAGCCTATCAAAGCACTCAAAAATAAAATTCAACCAATCACACGATGACAGCTCTCTTATACGCCACGATTTTCGGTAACGTGACCACCATCTTCCAGCAAATGTATTCGACGACGGGCAAGTACCACGAGATGCTGAACAATGTCCGCGAGTACATGAGACTTCACGACGTTCCGAAGGCCCTCAACGAAAGGGTAATGGACTACGTCGTATCCACGTGGGCTATCACTAAGGGGTTGGATGCACAGAAGGTTTGTTTTTGTTGTTTGATGGTTATTCTTTGGTTGTTGTTGTTTGATTGTTGTTGTTTGGTTGTTGGCTAGTGCTGCTTCTTGTTTGGGGCTGTTTGTTTTATTATTGTCTGTTTTTGCCGTTGTTTGTGTTTATTGATTTATATTCAAAATATGCGTTGTATTGTATCGCAATCAATGTTCTGTTGTTGTTGTTGGTAGTGGTTGTTGATAGTTTAAAAGATACGTCAATGTCAAGTGTCACAATTAAAAATGAAATGTGTCATAATTAGTGGGTAATTGATGCAAATTAGTTAATCAATGACGTAATAAACTATTTGCGGTTGTCATTTGGAACCACGCCAACCCAATGTAAGTAAATAATTAGCGTGTGTGTGTCAGTCAAATCTTTGCACAGGCTTATACGACAAGTATTTGTGTCTGCGTGTAAATGTGTGTGTGTGTGTGCATGTGTGGTGTTTGTGTGTGTGTGTGTTTAGTGTGTGAGCAAGTGTGTTTTGTTATTGGGTGCGCATGCAAGAGTGTGTTTGTCTGTGTGCGTTTTTGTAACCCTAATCTTTTAAAAATGAAATAATTTTTCCTTCAACTACACAACACAATTCAGTTTTAAGTTAATTTGTTATAGAAATGTTTTGAAATAAGCATATATTCTGAGCTATTTGTGACCTATACTGACAGGTTATACTCATTCTATTTATTCCCCACAATCTGATTATCATATGACTTGAAGATTTTCCATGATAGCTACGGTGTTTATAAACTTGACAGCTTAATATTTTAAAGTGTTTTTCGTGTTAAAAAAGCGTTTGAATCGTTACAGAAAATATTAAAAATCCAGATTTCAAACGAATGTTATAAGATTTGTGTAATTTGCTGAACGGCTAATAATTGAATGTATTCGCTGACAATCGAAATTTTTTTGTTTGTTCATTTGTTTATTTTATTTGAAAGCAGAGTTACGTTAATTTAAATGCATTGCACACACATACATGTTTCAATTCAAAGTGCGTATATATGTCTCAATACAAAGTGGGTATGTATGTCTCGATACGTTGTGTGAACGTGTGTTTCAATACATTGTGTGTACGTGCACTGATGGGACGAAACATCAATTGTGGCTTTTAATCAGGTGTCCTGTTTTCAAGTATCATCATGGATTAATTGATCAGCGCAATGAAAGGGTCTGAACATAAATACCGCGCCTGCCTATGAACGCAAAATGCTTGCCTGCATTTTCAAACAGTCATTTGTTTGTTGCACGCTGTTCCGTAGAATGCTTCGTTTTTATTGAAACGTAATATGGAATTCGTCTGAAATGCTGTGCACGAATTAGCTGGGCATATGAAACTATGTTAAAGTTATTGATTGCGTGTATGCGTGTGCGTGTGTGTCAGTGATGAGAATTGTATGGCAAGGACGTGTGCTCTACAAGGAGTAGAGAGGGAGTTCATTTAAAATTTATAAACTGAACGACGTACTCGTAATTAATTAACCTTTTGAGATTTGGGCCGGTAAAATTATGCTTCGGCAAAATTTCCCGACTCATAATTATAAGACAGCAATTGCAATGCAATGCAACCTCGCGCTGGTAGTTTTTCGTTTTATTACAAAAATTTAATTAATGCTGACGTGTTCGACGTGATTGTGTCCGTTTTTCAAGAAAAATTATTTTTGGTCTATTTATTTTCATGAGATATTTTTATAAAACTGGTTTTTACTGTCTATTTTGAACGTCGTAATTAATGACGGTCGTTTATAATGAGACTGAACGTGATTTCAAATGAACAGAAATGTCGTCAGAAAAAGTTTCAGGAGTTAAGTTAATAAATTAAATTTTATCTTCCGATTAAGATTCACCGTTTGGCGTACGTTCAGTTTAATCATCTGTCACATAATGTTAGGGTGAATTTAGCCTGCATAATTTTAAAACGTCGATCACAAATACTCTCAAGCTTTCTTGACTAATTAAAAAATAAAATAGTAAGCCAAAACTAAAATAAAATTGATGTTTTTTGATATCTTATTTGCATTTAGTAGTTTATTTAACCACATGCAATTTTATAAGCGATGCAATTTCCTTTGCAAGATTTCAATACTTTGCCTATGCCTACAGTTCTATTTTTCTATTTGTATTGTAACATATAACGAGTTAAATAAAACTTACTGATGTAAAGTGATTCATAAAAATAAACTAAATTAATGAATATTTTTTAAATTACAAAAAATTCAACTCGCTCACTTGACCAAATGAAAGGTGCTAGATTACTGCCCGAAAGACATGAAGGCAGACATTTGCGTACATCTGCATAGGAAAATTTTCACTGAACAACCGGCATTCAGACTTGCCAGCGACGGCTGTTTGAGGGCCCTTGCCATCAATTTTACAACCAGCCACTGTGCTCCGGGCGATGTTCTGTTCCATCAAGGCGAGAGCTTGGACTCCCTTTGTTTCATCGTCAGTGGGTCACTCGAGGTCGTCCAAGATGATGAAGTTGTTGCCATCCTAAGTAAGTTGAGGATGTATCAGCATTTCCTCATGCGTGTAAAATAATGAGTTTAAGAAGAAAAAAAATAAGATCTATTGTATATACAAATTAGTTTAAGAACATGCTTACAATACTAACATTTATTATAGTTTGGAGTTTGTTCATTTCAATTGCTCAGAAGAGCACCTATTTCAGCGTTGATATACAAAATTATACCAGCCCTAATTTTGCTTTACTCATAAGACTGCATTTGTCTAACATTTTAAAACATTTAACATTGCCTAGAATGTTATTTTTAGCGTGAACAAGTTCATTTCATCTATTGAAAAAACGTTGTAAATCAGGTAAAGGTGACGTCTTTGGTGATTTGTTTTGGAAGGAATGCAACGTTGTGCAGTCAGCAGCCAATGTGAGAGCCCTAACCTACTGCGACCTGAACATCATAAAGAGAGACAGACTACTCGAAGTACTTGATTTCTACCATGCCTTTGCCTTATCCTTTGCCAGGAATCTTACTTTGACTTACAATTTGAGACATAGGGTAAGTCAATCATTCACTGTATTATTTAATCTATTGCATAACCAAATTAAACTATAGTCAAAAACGACCAAACTCAAAAACTTTTTTAGCTGATTAAACTTTAAACATTTTTTGAAATTTTAGAGATAATGAATGAATTTTTTAGATGATATTCAGAAAAGTTGCTGATGTGAAAAGAGAGAAGGAACTGACAGAGAGGAATGACAACCCAGCACTCGACTTGCCCAGTGACCACCCGCTCAGGAAACTTATATCCAGGTTTCTGACCGAATAAATGTTGTAATGCAAACTGTCACTCTCTTTATGAGCGTCGATCGTTTGCATAACTTCAAAAGCTTTTTTTTTTTATTTTCATACTTTACTAATTCAAAAATTATCAAATCTTAATTAATAGAAATATTATTAAATGTTTCAAAAAAAAACTTGCTAAAATTGGTAAACTTTTTTTACTACGATTTCCATTATAAATATTTAAACTATTTTTAATAAAGATTTCGAAAGCGTAGCGAGCGATCGCTGATAACGATGATGAGGAACGGTTCCGATGTGGAGATGGGTGAAAGGAAAAGTTCGATAGATGTCATCAGGCGCTCTTCCAATCAGAGAATGTCTATAGTCGCTGAAGATGATTCCGAATCACCAAACGGAAACAAACCGAGATTTGCCAGAGGTTTGTTAGATGGGTTGGCTGCATTTTCCAGAAGGGGTGGAACTGGTTCTAGACGGAGTTCATGTGCAGGCTACAGTTCAGATACGAGACAAATGGGCAGTCCAAAGTCAGACCGTAAAGATATTCAACGTAACAGCAACGATGGTATGGATTTAAAAAGCCCATCGTCCAACGAGAGCGCAGATAAAAAGACAAGCAAGTTTGGTAGCAAACTTGGCACAGCTGAAAAAACTGGTAGCAGTGTTTTTAAAACTCAATCAAAATGGGGTAAACTTGTGAGCAATGCTGCAGCATCATCCCAACAACAACAAACAACAACAGGAGCTTCCAAAGTTTCCAAATCACCAACGAGACCGCCAACAAAAGTTCATCCGTTAACAAGTGCAATGAGTGAAGACAAACAACAGCTAACCCAAGAAGCACCCACTTCATCAAACGCCTACACCAACGGAGGATTCAGATTTGGAAACAGCATCGACGAAAAAACTTTTAAAGAAATAAAAGACTCTGAGAATAAAGATGGCGGTCAAAACAAACTAGGCAATTTAAACGTGCCTGAACTGAGGTTACAAACTGAAAGTGGAGTGTACACGGTTGACGATCCTGAGAACCCTTCACAGCGGATGGTTAGACAACTTCCAATACTCACAATTCTGAAGTTGAAATTAAAATATATCAATATCTATTTAATTGCATCATTGTTATATAATGATTTGAACTTATTATAAAAACTATCATAACTGATTGAAAAGTATTTAATATACAAATAAATTTTTATCGAGATAACGTGAATTGTTATTAATTTGTTGTAGGTGTACGAAGTTCTGAAAGAAATGAGGAGTGACATAAAGTACACAATCATTCTTAATCAATTTATAGTTAATTTTATGTTGCGAATTCTATTTAGCTAAACAGTGAAATTAAATTAATTGCAATCAAATGATTAAATAATTATTAAAAAATTACATTTATATTATATTATATTTATATTATATAAAATATTATAAAAAAAACAGATCTGTACATTTGCGAATAGAGCGAGTCGAAACACATCTAGAAGAAGTATTCAAATGGTTAGGAAAAGTAACGTCAGCCCCACATCATCCACCATTTTTGTCTCAAACCACGTCAAATTTGACTACAACAACTTTGGCAAAACTTCAAGCTCCGCCTTCAGTTTCCAACAGTAATTCTTCATTTTTAAGTCCGTACGACAACTGGTCGTCTGCCCAGGACAAACGATTTTCATCATGCACTAGCGTTCAGTACTCGCCTGCAACTGACGATTCCGCTATTCACGATTGCATCGAACGAACGAACTCTGTTGATAACCAATCGAGACCCTTCACATCTACTTCGATATTATCAACATCCGCTGGAGTTTCGCCGTTTCAAGAAAATATCTCCAACATGAATGACAGCGCGGTTAGTCTGAAGTGTTCGGAACTAGCTGAACCGTTTTCATCAACAAATGTTCAGACGCAAGTTCGGGAGGCAATGACCAGCCAATCGATAACGACATCGGTGCCACAAGTCATCATTGCTAAAACCAAATCAAAAAAATCTCAGGATTTGCTCAATCAACAATTGAAACAATCTCCGCAATCAACGTTTTCTATGCAGCAAAAACTTCCACAGCAGCAAATTCCAGATCATCAACGGCAACCTGATTTCACACAACAACTACCAAGACAGCAGCAAATGCAACAACAGCAGCCACAGCAGCAGCTACAACAGCAAGACCAACAATTAAAAACTCAAGCACAAGTTCGACAAAAAAAATCACTACAAAAAACAGACAAACTGCATTTACCTTCTATTCCACAATCTGGTCTTTCAGATACTTCACTTCTTTCCACAGATGATCGAACTCCATTGAGAGAACAACTTCATTCAAAACAAAGACCTTCTAGTCTGGCTGTAACGCCAAAATCAGTAAGTAGTTCAGAACAAACGACTCCACAGTTCATTATAGGCAGTGACAACACAAGCTGTTCAAGTGTTAGCAACCACACTCCGTTACACGCCGGGAAAACAGTTCCCGCTACGCAAAAGACGCCACAACCCCCACCTCCAAAGCCTCCTCCAAAACAATATTTTCCAACACCTGCAGCATCTTCAAAAACACTGAAAGAACCGCTACTGAAAACAATTCGACCCCCTCCTTCACAAGAACTCACCATCCTCGCTGAACCGCTGTTGTCTCGATCGGCTTCTCCGGGCAACTCACAGTCAGAGCAACAGGACTCTTCATCTAAATTACTCAGGTTCCAATCAAAAAAGCATAACATCGATCGGTTTCCATTTATTGATGACAGTGAGAACAGGAAATCAGCTGGCTCAGAGACGACAAAAACGGAACCCGTATTAGAACCTTGCTCAACACGATACACTAAAGGCTATTTAAAGGAACCCGACATTGATCTAAAATTAGGAGAACAAAAGTCAGCGGACGATCACTCCAGCTACCCTCTGCTCACTTCTCTCGATAAAAATGCTCAGAATCAAGCCAAACACCAGGAACGTGAAAGGTTACTCAGATCAAAAACCTTCGGCTTCAACCTCTAACATCAGACAACGGAGAGAAAACAAAAACGTTTGGTTTGTATTCAAATGGTGCAAGTGTGATTTCATGCTCGTTTATACATTCATTCACGTACGTGTGTACGCTTGCGTACATGTTTGTGCTACATTTAGATTTATATGTGAGAGTCAAAGTGTACGTTTTTTGTATTATAATGTTTCCATAATATTTTTTTATCTCCTATTTTCTCGCATCAGCGTTGCCGTGTGCTGTGGATTTCAAACTTACATTCTCATTTGGTTCTCTCGTAGTAACGGTTTATGTTCATTGTTCTCAATGCCATAACTATAAATTAATTTGAAGCAGTCCAATCTTTATGTACAACTAATGCGTTCTTAAAAATAATATTTTATTCAAAATTTTTTTAACAATAATTTTATATTTTTTATCTACTTTTTTATTTCAAATTCTGTGGCTTCAGTGAAAAGTTATTTTGTAAACTTGTGGTTATAACATATTTCGAAGAAAGAAAATAATGCAATATAAAATAATAGTCAACAGTTTTTTGCTACAAAAAGATCTTCTAATCTACAATAAATCAGTATTTTTTTAAACTAAGAGTCATCAAATTAAAGTAAGTCCACTTTCCAGAAGGAAACAAATAATTTACTATAAAATTGGGCAACAAGTTTCCGAAGAATTTTTTTTAAATTCACAAACTCATGTCTAGAGGGGCAAACCAGATAACTGAATTCTTATATTGCAAACACGAGAATTCCAGCAATATTAACCGGGAATGTTTTTTTCTATTCAAAATATACAATAACATTTTCATCGAGATAATGTTCTAAAATGAAAATAAAGTTCTAGAATTTATTTTTATTAAGAAAAATGTAGCCGTAATCATTCGTTTGATTTCATCTCAAATATAAGCCCTAAAATGGATAAAAAAAATAATAATTAACGCAGCTTTCCATCATTAATATCAATAATTCAGATGATCATTTAGCGTCCGTCACATCTGCTCAGCAATTACGACTAATTAATTTTTGGGTGATTTTTTTTTATTATCCATTTTACCAGAGAAAATTTTTGGAAGTTATCTTTATTGAACAAGCAAACCTGTTTTTATTCATTCACTCATCCATTTATTGATTTATTCATTTCTTCATTCGTTTGTTCGTCCATACATTCATTCACACATTCATTTATTCATTCATTTATTCACTTGTGATCTTATATAAAACCATAAATATTGAAATAAAAAAAATATATAACTTTCTTTGTGTGTTCCCGAATTAATATTTTTTTGATAGCCATTAGATAAAACTTACTATTTAAATTTATACCTTTTCATACTTCAATTTAATATTAATCATACAAAGCTTTATCACAGTGGTTAGCTGTATATAACAGAAAATTTTCAAAAATTTTCAAATATTTGTTTTACTTATTATTATTTAATATATTCAAATTAGTTAATAAACGTAATAATAAATGTTAATAAGATTTAATTTATTTATTTAACTTATTTTTATTTATTTATCAAATATTCAATTTTTAACATAAAGGGCATACTATAGCAATTTCTATTAGGTAATAATCCGCAACTTTTTCAATTTTTAACTCTCCTATTTTTTCTTATTTTCTTACTTCTTCACAGTTTTTCAACAATTTTTCTTCATTTTGCATGGCGTCATCCACACAGCACACAGGCAGGTATGACATATGTGACATCTAGTTGATTTGGTATAAAACAAGATTTATAAAGTTATCTTCTTCAATAATATAACCAGTAAAATTTATATTAAGTGTTACTAAATTGTTACTGGCTTTAATCATAAACTATACATTCCCGTTCTAATATATATCGATGTTATACTGAAACGTATATACTATATAGCATTATTACATTTTTCACAATCCCAAACAATTTTTATATCACATTTAACAATTCAATTTTAATTTATTTTAAATGATAATTAATTATAATGATAAAATAAGAATAAAATATTTTTTGATTTTAAATTGAAGTTTCATCATCAATAGCCACAAACTTCTTTTCTAACGAAGCTTGTTAACTGTAACACTCTTGAGTATTGCAACTTTTATGTGCGTTGTTAGTGTGTACGTGTTTGCTAACGTACGTGTGTGTATATGTTTGTCTGTTAATTTATGTGTGTGCGTGTGTGAGTGTCTTTTACATTACTATGTTATCTTGTTGTTGTTGTTTTTGTTGTAAGCTTCTGGCAATTATTTAGTTTTTATTAAATATTTTCGACTTCTTAAAGTTTTTAAAGAAAATTTTTCCAAAAAGAAAATAAAATGTCAACTGATTCAGATATTTTAAAATGTAAATAAAATAATTTATAAATAAAATATCTATGTATCATTGTTGTGGATAATTTTTTATCGTTGTTTACACGCAGTCATATATATAGAATTCTATATATATGCACGCCGCACAAGTTTGCAAATAAATTTTTTCCTCCACGCGTTCCATGTTTTAATAATCTAAACAAAAACTATGCGAGCATCATTCCAATTGAATGTTCATTCTTATTTTTACATTGATAAATGTTTTTTTTAAATGTTAAACTTGACGTTAATGTGATCTTATTTAATTCCATTTCCATCTGTTCAATGTTTCATCATCATTCGTTTTGGAAAAAAAAAGAAAAGAGAATTTTTTGTTTCTTTCCGATGTCTTTCGGTCTGGAATAATGATAAACCACAATCCTTCATTCCATTCATTCACTCGCTCACCTGTTTCAATTTTTTGTATGTCAATAAAACGTTTTAAAAAGTGTTCAGTGTAACAGAAATAAAATTAGAAGATAAAATATTAATGGTAATAATAACAAGTAAAATCTTCAAACCACACACCAGTCACAAAATTGGAAACACTCGGCCAATCAATAATGAACCAATCAACAAATAAGCAATCAATCAAGTAATCAGCCGACCATACAATCAAACAACCAATTAATTTATACTAATCAAGCAATCAACCTACTACAATCTACCGACAACTAATCAGATATCAACTATCTATTTAAAACCCGCACAACTTCATCAACATCGGCCTAACGAGAAACAAAACAGACATCGCATAAGCCATAAGCACATTCAGCGCCACATGATTAAATGTGGCCGCGCTTTGTCTGGGTAAAAGGGAATCGAAGTTAGCAACGATTTGAATGACTGTTGTCCACAGAATGACCGCTCTGTCCATCTCGTCTGCATTCAGAACGGATACGCTGTCTCCTGTTTCAAGTGTGAGTGCGTTGATAAAAATTATGAAGATATAAATGACAACGACAAACGGATAATATAAATCTAACAAATCATAATATAAATATAACAAAGATTATATTATATGATTTAAATAAAAATAACAATGGCGTGAATACTATTGAAATCAAGAAATATTCCCGTCATTAAAAATTTTACAAGCCTGAAACCTTTAGAATGATGGAAGTAGTAGTATTTGTCGTTATCAGAGAGGAGTTCCAGTCCTGGCACATCTTTCTCTTCAATCCATCTTTTCGTTCCGGAACTTTCACCTCCTGGTGTTATTTCTGTCATGTTCAAGTCGGTGAGATGTACACGCAGGATTTCCTATAAAATAGAATCGAGTGACGTGCACGTTTGTCTAAGTTGGTTGTACGTATGATTAATGAGTTTAGGTTGCGTGTTCGTCTGAGGTGTTTATGTTTCTTTTTAGAATTTTTTCTGTTAGTGCCATTTGGAATATTGACATTTTCAGTGAAATGTCTTGAATCAAATGTTATTTTAGGCATTTGTTATCGCTTTTGCTCACCTATTCCATATTAACTACCAGGAATTTAGGTTACAACTTCATATGCAAATGGTGTTATCCTACTTTTTTCATATAATGGACGAGTGTTTTATAACCTCTCAAACAAACAATCAAATTATTATATAAGTGTCATTAGGATAATGCATAGTTGATTTTAACAAATGATCGAATTCAGAAAAAATTTGATAACGTCATTTTAGGATAGGTTCGAAATCTATTAAGCTTTGTTAAACTTGGATCGGAACGTGGATTTGGATTCTAAGCTCATGCACAAATACTTGATTCAACAAATTTCTTATCAATGAAGATTTTTATTGTAGCCTATCGAATCAGAAACCAACGTAAATTGTATAAATAGAAACGAATTATGATTAAAATTCAAAAATTAACTGCCGATTTAATTTAATTAGGTTGTTTCAATGTAAAAGTAGAAATTTGGCATAAAATACTTCGCGATTTAAATCAGATGTTGATTAAGATTGGGTCAGTAATGTTATTGTCACCATTATAATTTAAAATTTTAACATTCTTATTATAATATAAATATTTCGAATTTCATAATTAGCACATAATTATGGCCATTATAATTATAATTAACCTGGAGTATATCTTTGGCCAGGCTACATCCAGTAAACCTAAGGCCTCTCGGATTAAAAACACCTTGGTCAGACTCCAGTATCATGGATAACTTGTCAGATATATCCTATAGCATTACAATTACCGATATAACTATTTCTTTTACTAATTATATGGATATTTCAATCAATAATGATAATTGTATCGTTGTAATATAAAGTAATTAACAGATTATAATAAAATTAATTAATTATGATTAATTTATTACAGTCAATATAGGATAATTAATTGATGATAATTTGATTAGGTTAACAGAAAGTGAAACGCCAAAACGCTGTGAAGTTAAATTTCCGGTGCCGCCTTCTTTCCAGCCACGTAAATGTACTACAGAAACTATATATCAATTTTTTACACTTTACAATGAACACCCTGATCCCATATATCTTTACGTATTACAACAGTTTACTAACGTGGTGCCGCTCGAAATAATCGTCACTCCCCAAAGACCCGCTTTCCTATGTGATTAAAAGAGAAAATATAGTTTAGTGGTAAGAGTTTGACCGGTTTTCCGTTGGTGTATTCAAGTGAATTGAAAAATATTATATTTATTACCCTGTGATTATGCTTGAAGTATGAATTTTTTTGTAAAACTTTAAAACGTTTGACATATTTTGATTAAATATTTTTATATGTTAATTATTATTTGACTATTAATTAATAGTAATAAAATAAAAAAATGAATTTCCACCTCGGCAGTCCAAAGAACGAGTCTAACAGTCCGCTTGGGCCTCAGGTCAAGTTCTTTCAAGACACGCAGGGCCTACCAAACCAGGGTTTGAAAAAAGGTTTCAAATTGTGTGTCATTTTTGTACTCTTTTTATGACAAATTAAAAATTTTTCTTTACTTTAGTGCAAGCCTGTTTTCAAATTATTTCGGCAAATATTGTGGTGAAGTATAATGGAAAAGTTTTAAGAAAATATGTTAAAGAACGCTTTTTCCAAAATTTAATGGCATCTAATTGCATATGAATCAAATGTACGGGAATAACTAATGAATATTGTAGCTTCATTTTCTGTAATTATGTAATTAACCAAAAAAAAGATTAATTTGACATCGAGTTTAGATAACACAAAGTTAAGTTTAATTTCTACGAATTGTGAAAAAAAGACTAGCTCGTCATACAATTAGAACGCAATAAAGATATCTAATCAATGATAAGATACATAAGAAGTATTTATTTAACTATCGTGTCTCACGTACACCTAGTCTCATGCTTTGGTGGGGTAAAAATAACTTTATGTTTTTAATTTTTCAGCCGAATATTTTATATTATGTTTCAATCAATCGATCAATCAATCAATAGCCCAATTTCTAAAAATTCAATTGAAATCAACCTAAAACCTGCAAAACAAATAATTACGAGGTACAAAAAATATATACTTTTAGTAACAACGGAATGGATGGAAAATTAGATAATAATATCATATATACATTAATAATAAACAGCAGAATGGAGGACACAGCGGGACACCAACCAACCTCCCAAGCAATCATGAATCCAGCACCATCGTCCAGAGCCCCATCATTGTTCCACGAATCCGTGTGACCTCCCACTATGACGTACTGTCATTTCAACAAATATATTAATAGAAATTATGAATTTTTTTTTAAATTTCTCAAAAAATTGTTTGTACGATTTTGTTTGCACTCTCATCGCTGACAAAAATTTACAAAACCATTTAAAAAAACTGCGATTTTTTGAACTGTTTTAAAATCATTAACACGTTACTTTCCAAATATCAATTACAAATATTAGCCACAGACTGAACGACCCACAATTTCAAACGAAATTTTCCACCGAGTGGCTTCTCAATCCGCTTAATACAGTACGATGTTTAGTTAACGCGGGAATAAACACCATGGCGTACTAATGACAAACGATGATGATGATGATGTCGACGATAATACCAGCTGTTATTTTTTGCACATGCTTGCATTGTGTTGATAAGTTTGCAATAGTCAATAGAGACAGTATCACATGACAGTATCATTATCATAGTATCATATTAATGCACCTACTTCGTCTGGTCTTTCAGTTCCTTTCATCTCGGCGATGATGTTTGATGATGTTTTGTTTTCTTTATTGGTTAGTGTTTCTATCGACAGGGTGATGTTCAGTGTCAACTCTTTTCAAATTGGTAAGAATTTGGGGATTTTGGAGAAATTAGAAAAAACATTATAAATTATTTTTCAAAATTTATTTAATATAAATTATTCAATTGTGTTCATTTTAATTTATTGTCGTTAAAAACGAAAGAGAATTTTGATTAAGTTGTTATTCTTTCATTGCTTAATAATAATTACAGAGGAGCTTAGAAAATTCTAAAATTGTTGAAAACGTTAGTTGAAGCGAATATATCTGAAAAATTTCAATTATTCAATAAAATTTTCACATCAAATGAATTTAAGTTAAGAGATGGCAGATACGTTGAAAGGGAAGAACACTCACTGACTTCTATCAAAAATACGTTGAAAGTATTCCGCATCTTCAACAGTTATACATGCGGCAGGTATTTTCGGTACACTGCTGTTGTACACCTTCAATTATTTATTTAAAATTTCAGTTTATGGCCGCAAATGTCTGTTTTTCAGAAAGTTTCAGTAAAATTTTACAAATATGTCGTTTTAAACTCAAACTTAGTAACCTAACTAAATTAACTGAGATTAATTGCTGGATTAGTAGGGAGTTTTACAAAATGTTGATTAAATGCTTTTTATCTGTAGTTAACAAAATATATTTTTAAATAAAGTCTATGGCATTTTTTTGAGAGCTTTTAAATTAATTTGAAAATTATTAATGTCGGTTATCAAAGATTAAATTCTTCAAAATATTCAAACCATCTGTCCGGAGTGTACGCTGTAGATGGAGAATGGTGTTGGGCTTCTGATGAGGACAGCAGCAGCTTCATATTTAGCTGCCCTGGATGCTCCGTGCTTCACGTACTCGTTCGATTGTGTATAATTTATCCAGGGCTGGTTGTAAACTACCAGTTTGCCTTTCAGCTTTCAATTTTGACAAATGTTTCTTTAGTATCAAGCGTCAAAATTAAAACTTGATTCCTTTAATGAAATTCTTAAAAAACTTTAATACATATCATGTTATATATGCCGTTTTTACGTTATAAAAATTTTACAGATTACTTCTTTTTTGCGTTTATCGAGTTCTTTAAATGACTTGACGACGACGACACTATACCAGCGAGGTCCACCGCTTGACACCGACGGTCTCAACGCCGATAACTCTACGACCTTGTTGCGCTTGTCAAATGTTTGTACCGTTGCCTCCGCTTTCAAAATTAACCAGGGAATAATCTGATAATGTAAGAAAGAGAAGGAAAAATACAAATTTTTAAAATAAATCACATTAACATTTTATTCCATTAAAAAAAAGTTAAATGTAGCTTTACCGTAAGGTTCTCCGTGGAAACTAAATCAAATTCATCCTTCTCCTTCATTTCTCGAACTATGTGGTCTTTAAATTAAATATCATTCACAATTGTTAAAAACCTCTGCGATGAACCCTTTATTCACGTAATCTATTTAACTGTAAATTCGTCTACCAACATGAGACAATAAAGATATTAATAAAAGTTAAAAAAAACTAATACATCGTTATTCGTGAATATCAGAACAACATATTATGATTTGATAGATAAAACTTATTTATTTAAAATTAATTCGAACTAATCAAAGTTTCCAGGTTTTTTGAATTTTCCATTCTTGCGCCATACTCATCAACCATGTAGGACAATCTTTTGTAAGACGAATGCTTGCCGGCGCCCTTAAGAACGTGGTTCTTTATTTGGAATATGTTATCTGAGTGTTTTGTTATTTCGTCATTATTCACCATCATAATTTGACATCATTCTATATAGTGTTTTTTAAAATCTTCATTAATTCAATTCTAGTTTATACTATTTTAACATTCGTGCGTGTTACTAATTTACTTTTTTGATCATTGATCTGATTAATCCAGTCAGATGTCAGACAGAAAGATACTTCGATGATCAGAAAGATTGAAAACAATCTCTTCAAGAAATTTTTTGAAGACATTTTTTTTACATCTGCCACATGCAAACAAGCGAAAATTAATTCAACGGCGTCAAAAATTAGTTGAAATAAACTACTTGAACCTTTCACTATGTGTTGAGTTTTTTTTTATCAAAATAATTGAAAACTGTCAGATAAAACTTTCAAGCATGTTGTCAGTTCAATTGCAGTCAATAATAATCTATTGAAAAATTATAGTTAGAAGAATCTAAAAGTAAAATGCTTCCATCAAAACGCATATTGACTGACCATAACATATTTACTTCATTTTATGTTAAATGTTTCCGTGTTAACGTTTGCATAAGATTGTTTAGTTTTCAATTTATATCTATGGTCTAATGGTTAAGGTCGCTTAGTGCTGTTTCGCAGTAACCGGGTTCGAACATGTCAAAAAGATCCTCGCCTATCATATACTTCGTGTGAGGTGCGTCGTTTAGCACGTATTGATTTACGATGTCTGTGCGCTTTGTTGAATCCTCTGAACTTTGGAAAAGTGTAATTGACCTTTAAACCTTTTTTTTAACCTTTAAAATGGCTCTCCGCATGTCAAAATAAAGTAGGATGACTTCATATTAACTGTTGCTGTTTATTATTATTGCTATCACTAAATATGCCGTACCGTGCAATAAAATTAAAATGCATTAAATGCCTTAAAGTTTCGAATTAAATTATTCATTGATTCACATCGTTAAATATGACAAAGTGTTTTAAGTAGACACAAAAATGGTTTAGAAATTTCAAAAAGATTTCAATCTTTATTAAATTAAATTTTTTAAATCCGTTAAATCATTTTCAAAAGAAACTTTTGCTATAAATGAGTATTATTTTTCTTATATTTTATATACGTAGGCTTCCGGATTATATATATATATAGGATATAACATAATATAATATATAAATATAATGTCACATTCTCTATATATGGCCACAGGTGACATACAAGTTTATGAATATTGAATTCATCGTTTTATCGAGGAGTTTTATATATTGGATACAATAATACATATTGTCTATATGGGTGCATTTAATATGTGGGTTTATTTATGGAATTCTAATTAAGAATTGACCGACCCATCGTATCTCCCCCATTTCATACTTTAGCGGAGACGCGATGACGTCACGCATCCATTCTGATTGATGCGGGGAACCTCTAGCGGGTGTAGTTTGCAGCGTAAAAATACATTATGACGTAATTGCTCTCAGGTAAACGTCAAACTCAATTTCCTATGTGTATGTAATTCAATGTAAGATTTCCTGTTAGATAAATTTCATGAACATTTTTGCATATAAATTCACTTTTAAACTTATGTAAAATATAATAAACTAGTAAAATTTTGTAGAATTCACCAATTTAATCGAGATTAACATAGTGCAACTTTAAAATTTTAAAAGATAATATTTTAAATTAACTTTGAACAGCATGTCAACCGGTAACTTAGCAACGATTGGTGGATACAGCATGTGCGCGTTGCCATGGTCATCGGTACATTTGTTTATGCAGTGTTGGATTTGTACGAACGTCCTCTTATTACGACCAATTAAAAATAAAATAAATGAAAATCAGGTGGTTAAATTGTATTATTTGACCATGAATAATGCTTTTAATAACGATGACGTTTTTGACATGATGAAAGACATTGAAAATGAAGAAGGAATAACAATTGAAAAAACATTAGCAATTATTAAGCCAGATGCTTTCGAAAAAGAATACGAAATTTTGGATACAATCTTAAGAAATGGATTTTTTGTTTTAAATGTTAGAAGTATTGTTTTAGATTTTGTTGAATAATAATAAATTAATAGTTTGGTTGATCGATAAACATTTGATTTTTAATTGATAAACCACAAAATTAAAAAAAATTAAGTTTATTCATTTGTAATTTAGTAGTATAATGAAGTTTTAAAGTAATGTTATTTATTAAAATTTAAATTAAACAAATTTATTTACCACAATTTAAAGAAAATGAAAATACATTTGAGTCCAGAGCAGGCAAGTGAATTTTATGAAGAGCATTATAACAAAAGCTTCTTTTCACGTCTCATTCATTACATAAGCAGTGGCTACATAATTGTATTAGTATTGGGCAAGCAAAATGCAGTGCTTGATTGGAGAAACTTGATTGGTCCCACTGATTCTGAAAAGGCCAGAGAAAGCCATCCACACAGGTTAGCCATCTAACTTTTGTTTAATTACTTATGATGATACAAATCCAGATGAATCTTAGAAGTATGATTGTTTTGATGTTGTAAAAGTAAGGTACTGCTATTGAGGTGACCCTTATTCAATTGCAAAAAGATCTCTGGAAAATATTAAAAAGAGAGCTGTAATAAATAAATAATGCATTGTTTTTTAACCAACGAAGTAAATCAAATGATAACCATGATTAAAATTGAACCATTAATATGTTTTTATCTGCCTTTCTCCATTTATTTCCTTGTAGAAGTTGTTGAAAAAGACTGTTTAGCACCACTGAAATAGTTTTTTACAAATATAGCTGATCCAAAAATTTAATTAATTTCATTCAGCCTTAGAGCATTGTATGGAAAAGATAAAGAAGTCAACGCATTTCATGGAAGTGACAGCCTAGAAAGTGCTAAGAGAGAAATTAAATTCTTTTTTCCAAATTGTTAGTCCTCAGAAAATTTGCTATTATTAATTGGCTAATCAATAAAAGCATTAGGTACTTCAATAATAACTTTCAACAATTGAACTAATATAAAAAAATCAGTAGAAAATTAATGTCAATCATTAAAACCAATAAATATCTTATTAATTCGATTCATTTTTCAATTTTTCTTTTCACCAATATGTTGACAGTGGTTGAAGAACCAGTTGCTTTAGAGAATGATGCGAGGTATTTCATGCAAAAGTATGTTAATCCTACATTGCTGAAAGGCTTAACAGCTTTGTGTCACAAAAAGCCTGAAAATCCAGTGGTATACACAACTTCTTGTGACTTTTTCAACTGTGTTGAACATAGAATCTTGTCATAATGTTATTATCTAATGAAATGAATTATTATTATTATTATTATTATTAATATATTGCATAGCTTCACGGGCGCTTGGATAATTAATGACATATATAGCTGACTTGTATATATGACTTGAATAATTTGGTAAATTAAACTTTTTTAGGGGGAATATCGCAGGTTGATTTCTACTAATAATAATTAGTTACATCATATAATCTAATTTGATTTTAATGTTAATCTAATATTGGCAAATATGAATTAACTACTTATTTAATTTATTTAACAAGTTATTGTTTGATAATGCAAAAACTGAATTGGTTGACGATTTTTATTAATTTGCAAAACTTAGGTATGGTTGGCAGATTGGCTGACAAACAACAACCCTAACAAACCAAGAATTCAAGAAGCATAAAACAAATGAATGACATGTAAAAAAAGAAATATGTTGAACATTAAGAAATATTAAAAAATATAACATTATTTTTTCCATGTAAAATATATCGTACCTACCTACATCTTTCACAATTTACAAGAACATATTACATCAAAAAAAAATTAAATTGAAAATGTAATCTGCAATGTGAGTTTGCATATTTATTTAGGCACCTGAACAAAATTCTAACAATTGTATACAATATCACAAATTAAAAAAGTACATAAAAATTGTATGTGTGTTTGCGTATAATATAAATCATCTAAAAATTGTCTAAAATAGAGTGCATCTAATTGCAAATTGATAACGGATTAAAATTCATTTGAACAGTCTTACTAGTACGGTACTAGACAAGTTTATGTAAAAAAAAATTCAAGTAACATTTCATAATGTTATATTATTACATTATATTCCCACTTTTGTAATACAGTTTTATATAATTTGCATTTTGCATTATTTTCTTCCGTTCTCTATCAATTTATTCACGTTGGTCTTATTAGTTAGACATGATCAGAATTTGATTTTTATGAGAGTAAGAAAAAGCAAAAAAAACCGATGCAATAACAAACTAAATTAAATTACTCATTGAGATTAACAACATTCATCGATCAGGCGGTCTCTTCATCGCGTAGCTCCATCGCATCTTGTCATGTGATTTGCAAAAGCCTCTCTGTCCTCGAAGGGGAACTGACACAAGGGGCATTTGTAACTGGAATCCCCGTCTCTACATTCTGATTCGTGAGCTACAGTGTGATTTGTGGAGGAATGTGTGCTTTTACAAGAAGGAGGTTCTTTGAAATTGTTATCGTTATTGACGTTATTATTATTATTGTACGTGTTATTACCGCCTGATAGATGTCCAGGATCGTTTAAAGTTGGGAAGGTTTTTGAATGAAGATGCGATGATGCGGAAAACGACGATGATGACGACGATGGTTGAGACATTTGGCTGGATAATAATGGTGGCAATGGAGGTGGTTGCGACTTTTGGCTGAATAATAGTGGTGATGATGAAGATGACGACGTTGATGATGTTTTGCTGGATGTACTCCTTGGCGTAGCATTGCATTGTGATTGCAATCTGACTATACTCTTTTTTAACTTCTGGATCTCTTCTACATATATCTTCAACTATTCCCATTGGTTTGTTAATGAAGTTAATTTATTTTTAAAATTTGTTGTTGTGAGTCATATTATACAATTAAACAGTTCAAAAACCTGTAATTTTTGAGCCTCAAACTCGGACTTTTTTTCACTATCCATCTTTTTGTCCCACAATTTTTTATAATTATATAATTGTAATAATATAATTATATAATTTTATAATTATATAATTATAATAATATAATTTTTTATAATTATATTAAAAGATTTTTCAACTACAACCCATTACAACTCACTTCACTCAGATGTTTTAGCATGCTTTCATTCTCTTCATTTAAACGGGACAACTTTATATCATTTTCGATCTAAATCAATAAATGAATATAATGCAGCTGACTGAATCACATTGCAAGAAAATTTTGAAAGAGGTCACAAACGCACATTTTGCTTTTGTATCCTATCTGCGAGTTCAGCTAATTCATCAAATCTTACCCGAAATTCACAGAGTAATTTTCTTTAAAGTAAAAATTTATGATAAAATATACAAAACTATTTAATACAAACGATAAAAAATTGGAAAGGTAATACTGACGATTCATCATTTAACTGTCCTTCAGTCAACACTAGTCTGAAGAAAAATAAACGGATATAGATTCTAAAAATAACTGAAATATTGGACTAATGATAAATTTTTAGATCAAACAAAACAATGATCAGAGGCAAATTTGTATTTACTTTGCTTCAAGCGATTCATTGCTACATTTTAATTCTGTTACCTGTTTTTCTAGCTGTGAATTCTTAAAAAAAAAACGATAAATGATAAAAGAAAAAACTGAAAATGACTTACTTACTTCATCAATTTTGACAGTTAGTTGATCTTGCAACTGATTAATTTGTGCCTTCATATTGTTGGATATTTTGGAATGTAAACAAGATATATTGGATACCTGTTTTTCTAGCTGTGAATTCTTAAAAAAAAAAACGATAAATGATAAAAGAAAAAACTGAAAATGACTTACTTACTTCATCAATTTTGACAGTTAGTTGATCTTGCAACTGATTAATTTGTGCCTTCATATTGTTGGATATTTCTTGCTTCTTTTCCACATGTTTGCATAGCTTCTCAAGTTGTTCATTAGAAGCATTCAATAATTCTGCAGATATTTAACACATAATAATAAGAAAATATCTACATTCACCTAAACCAAAAAATTAACAAGAAAAAACTACTAAACATTTAATTTGACTATTAAAGGAACAGTTTTACAAAACCTTTTAATTTTTCATTTTCTTTCAACATTGTTTCACTCATCTCAGGCTGATAAAAACAACTGAAAAAGAATTTAATACCATACAATGCAATTTGTTGTGCGATGAATTAGATTTGTCTTTTATTTTTATGAACTTGTCTTTTATTTATCAAAATCTGTGGAATAAAAGCATTATTTATTCAAACAGCAAAAAATTGAATTGTATGTACAGCAAAGCAAACTAGAGTTTTAAACAAGATAAAAATGCTGTTTAGATTTAAAAGAAATTGATTAATGAAGAAAAGTTGTAGTAATTGTTGTAAATGTCATGTAAAAACATTTTAATGCTTTCATCATTATTTTTATTTTACGATAAACAATGCTTATTTAAGTTTTCATCTATATTATAATATAAAATAACTAATACTAAATCAAAGGGATTATTAAAAATTTAAAATTAAAATAGAAAAAGTATTCTTTTTTACAACAAATGATTAAAATAACTTAACATCTGACGCGTGATTATAATAAATAAGACTTGTCTTAAGTGAACACTTAATAGTAGTTTTGCTACAACTCTAGCCCTGAAAATTTTGAAATAACCACAAAGCTAACACAACTTTAAATAACTTTTTCTAGCCCCTTACTTATAGTTTCGGTTTGCTCTTGCTTGAGTGACAACTTACTAGAAGTTAGTAAATAAATAATAATAAGTGATATGTATTATCATTATTAAGTATAATAATAATTATTTATTATTATTTATAGTTTATATAGATATATGATATAGCAGTAGCACACTGGCAAAACACAAACATCGACCGCATGACACTTGAAATCTTGAATTGATCGAAGAAGTTTCAATTTAATCAATTCTAAATTTTAACTTAATAATCTAACTATTAATTAAATAAATAAATAAATTAGTAAGAACGTGAGTCTCCACACTTTCCCACTAACTAACAAAGCACAAGCAACTAACTGATAATTTCATATTTCATTTTATCCTGAATTATTGTATCAGGTGTCGTATTTTAAATCTTCAAGCTCAGCTAAGACAAAATAGTATTGGGGAAATACCAAATTTCTACCATGGATATATCCATGATTTCTACTAATTACATTCAATTTGACATTTTGCAAATTTTTTTTTAACTGTTATAATATAAAAGCTGTAAAATTATTTTAAAATTAATTTAAAACATTATAAATGCTATAACTATTTTCATTGATTCATTTATTCCAAATAATCACGAAAAAATGGAACCATAGTAAATATTTTAATATTAGGCGCTACAAAATTTGTAATTGTTGTTAATGAGAACATGCAATACATTAATTTAAAAATTCACTTGCAGACTGATTTGTTAAAATTGATGGCGTATCTTTTTGAGACAAATGCAAGTTAGGACAATTATGTACCGGCCTGAGTTTTAATTCTTTAAAAGTTCTCCATTATGACACTTGCTGCTCCCCTGACTTCCAAGGTAGAAGTGTTCATCAAACAACAGTGGTCCCAGGCCACAATTCAGTTAGGCAAAGAAAGTTTGACTTTGTCGCTGGATGATCCGTGCTACGGGGAAGGTAGTACCGCCAATGGATCATGGGATAGAAATGCTTGTGATCCTCATCCCCCACCTGAATTAACTGGCCACAAAAGGGTTGTAAAGCTGCAAAAGGAAGACTCAAATGGTTTGGGAATAAGTATAAAAGGCGGTCGAGAAAATAAAATGCCCATTCTGATTTCAAAAATTTTCAAAAATATGGCAGCCGATAAAAGTAAACAGTTGTATGTTGGTGATGCCATTTTATCTGTAAATGGAGAGGACCTGAGGGATGCCAGACATGATGATGCAGTCAGAGCCCTTAAGAAAGCCGGAAGAATGGTTGAACTTGAAGGTATTCCAAGTTTTGTTTAACTGGTTATTTGGATTATAATGATACATGTAATAAATGGATATGTGTGCTGGATGGGTAGAATGAATAAGTAAATGTATAAATTTTGATCTGTGTTAATTAACTAATTGATGAGTTATGCTTTGTTGTATTATTTTCAACTACAGTTAAATTTCTCTGGGAGGTAATTCCATATTTCAGGAAATCATCAGTTCTGAGTGAGTTAGGTTGGGGAAGTTTGAAATCAACATCCTCTAAATGTTCATTGACAGCGGGCAAACAAACAGCAGACATATCCAAGTCCATTCCTCTCATGATGTCCTACTGCAGGCTCTGCATCAGCATTCCAAGGGGTCTCGAGTTGCTTTCACCTGATCTGAAATGTTCTTTGACTTTTCGATTCCCTGACGATCCGACCACATTCACATGGCTCAATGCCCTTCACTCCTGTATACAATCTTCAAATGTGGAAGCTGTAACAGAGGCCAATAAAATTTTAAGGTCAACCTCTACAAATCCATCTGGAGATATCGTTCAAATCAGACACTTAGGATGGCTCACTGAACAAGTTATTTCTTTTAGATATTATTTCATTGGAGTTGTTTCAAAATTTTTTTATAAAATTATCCATAATCTTCAAATTATTGAAAAATTAAAACATTATTATTTTTTTTTAATTTTTTGTTCTGTTCATTCAATTTTAATGACAAACGGTAACTGGTAAATGAACAAATAAATAAATGAATAAATAATTAAATAAATAAATGAATTAATAAGTAAATTAATGGATTCAAGGTGAACCAGAATGTAGCACTATCATCTGCATGGAAGCCAATATTTGTTGCAATAACAGAGAAAGATATTTTGTTTTACGAGGCAGCTCCCACCAGCCAAGAGGAATGGTCCAATCCATTTCTCAGTTACTCCATTCTCACAACCAGGTTCAATCATTTGTTGACTTTGTTTTTAAGAAATGTTTAAATGATATAGTCCAAACTTTTCAATTATCATTCATTTCATTATTTTTAGTCTTAATTCTCAAATTAAATTTTCCTAAATATAGTTCTATAATCAAGTTTCAGTGAAAAGTGCATTTGTTTTTAGCTAATTTAAAATGAAAATGTATTATTAAGCATATCTTTGAATTTTTGTCAATTGTAGAATAATTAAACTTAACAAAATGTACAGGTTGGTGCACATAAACAGCTCAGCATTTCAACAGCAACAGTTCCAACAACTACATCAACATTACCAACATCTGCAGCAGCAACAACAACAACAACTACCACAACTTGTCTTTATAGATCAATTTTATTTTGGGCTTAGATCTGGCACAAGGTAAGTTCAATGATGAAATGATGAAGATGTAAATGAAAATAGTCTTGAAACAACGCCACAGGTATGGAATAGAAGAGCACATATTTCGAGTTGAGGTGCAGAATGACCTTTCAAACTGGTCAATGGCTCTTGTGCAGGGCTCATGTTCAGCTGTTGAACTGGTTAAAGAATTAAGCACTGGTTATTTGGCTCTTACATTTTCTTATTAATTCACTTATGAAATATGAAATGTGTTCAACTTTGTTCTTTTATGTGTTTTTTAACATGTCATGGCATACTGATCTTTTAAAATTTAGTTTTTTTAATTTAATGGCTAGACCAAAAGTTAAATGAACAAATAAACAAACAAACAACGAAAACGTCAATGAAACATTTCTACTTGCATGAAGCTGTGTTATGGAACAACATGCCCTGTCGTCTGGTCCTACATTACGAGAATGGCTTCACATTGCTGGGTACATCTCCCTCACAGTTGCCATCCTCCCCATCAGCAGTTTCCATGAACAACCCGAATCCAGAGGCTCTCACCATGAAGTTGTTATGGCACTACCCATTTGACAGGCTGGTCTCAACTGACGATGATGGCGTTCGACTGCTCATGCTCACTTTCTCTGATGACAGGACTGTTGTTCGTTTCATTCATTTTCATATCTTCTAAGTTTTTATTTCTTGAAAATTTGTATCTGTTACCTATTCAATTTATGTATTCTTATTTCATTTGTTCACTCCTAAATGATATACTTATCTTCGTTCATTATCTACTTCCATGAATGTTTCACATCTTGAAACACTGCAGGAATTAGATTTGGATTTGAATCCGAAGCCACTTGTCTTCATCCTCCATAGTTTCCTTGCAGCCAAGATCTCTCGTCTCGGCCTCGTTTCTTGACCACCTTGTTTTGAGGCTGAAAGTTCTTTTTATTATTCATTTATTTACTTGTTGACTGACGTATCAAGAATTTATTTTGAATTGTGTATAGAGTGTGGCACCTGCCAAATAGCAGCATAATATTGTGATGATGGCTGTCTGGTCATAGATTGTGTGAACGTGAAGTTGGTAGTTAATGCAAATTTAAAAGTTTTTTTGAATCAAAGTTTATCCATTGATACATTTGCCACAGAAGTAATTATTTGTCATCTTCTGCTATTTTGTTTTAATCCATTTTGTTTGTTTTACTTTTTTTTTATTCATTTATCAATTGTTTTGACATCTTTGTTTTTCAATTGCAAGTAATTATTTTGTTATTTTTTGCTTCTTGTTTTATTTTTTTCATTGTTTGGATATTTGTAAGTTTATGTATATATATATATATATATATATATATATATATATTTATATATATATATATATATATATTTTAATTTTCACCATAATTTTTCTGTTTTTTTTTTTGTTTCCAAGCAAACATTTCCAAGCAAACATTTCCAAGCTTGTATAATATTGAGTGGAAGCTGACTGCGTATGAGCTAGGCTAGGTCAATGTCCTCTGTACAGTTTATATTTTTACGATCAGATAAGTAGATGATAGTCTTCCAAGTATTCATTAATGTTCTTACCATCGGATGTTTTTACTTTCTGTAGTAAAAAATTGAATTCTTTTTAACATAGGCACTGGAATTTTTAGTTATTTGAATCAAGTAAACGAAAATTTTCTCCTTTGTGAATAATCGTAATGTTTCGAGTTTTGTTCAATGTGGTGTTCGATATGTCTTATTAAAGTTGCTTCAATTGGAAATCGAAAATCTTTTTAAATATTTATATTATTATATCGCAATGTTTTCAATAACTCACCTAGTGTCAGCGTTACACACATACACCACACACACACACAAACACACAGACACGCAAATATTTTTCGTTAATTTTATTTTTGAATTAATTCAAGGCAGTTGTTGTTAGTTGTCAGACAATGTGATAGGCATGTTTTAATTTTTGTAAAATATCGGAGTGATCACACGATTTGACCGTGAATGTGAAATTTTTTTAAAATTTATTTTAATTTTTCAGTTTGCTAAAATTTTTTTTTTATTTCAAGTTTCATGTTTTATTTTCATCACCGTTGAATTTTCAAATTATCGCACGTTTAGCCACACGTGAAGTAATAAAATGTTGTTTCTAGTTCACGTTAAGCGTGCTACTCTCAGTAACGTTTCCCTTCAGTTCCAGCTTTTGTAAGAACAATATTTTATCAACTTATAAAATATTTTAAATCAAATTTTTTTCTCAAGTTGTTTTTTTCAATCTTTCGGACTGTTGTTGTTGTTTTTTTAACATTAGTATTAGCAATAATTGTTATGATTAATTTATTGATTACATTTAATGTTGATACAATTTTTTCATTTATTTTATATTTTAATTCCTCAAAATTTGTTTCATTTTGAGATTTTTTTATGAATAAGATAACACCCTAGTCAAGAATTCTGTCTATGTTGTATATTTTTTCTACTAGTCAATTTGAGAATTTGATTTTATATAGGAAGATTCTTTTTTTATAAAATACCTCGTTTCAATTTTAAATACCGATCTATTTTCAAAATTAAGGACGGATTTTAATTTTGATGGTTCGTCATTTTCTGTGCAGCAATTTGTTTTATATAATGAGATCAAGTTAGTCTGTTTCTACAGGGTAATAATATCCATTGAGAATATATGCCCTTCATGATTAACGTCTGCTTTTGTTGGAGTTGTATTGTATTGTATGCGCGGCATTCACTCTTTTGAAGACCTTATAAATTTTTGTTAATTAATCTTTAATTGATTATAATTAATTAGTTTAACTTTTCATTATCTCATGGTCGATTGGTGTCATTTCCCTTTGGAAAACTCAAGTTTTTGTTGAGTGTTTTTACATGTTTCTTTTATTTTTCATACAGTAACTGTAAATTAAAATTGCATTATTATTATTAATTCCCAGTTTATTGACGTCACCAATGTTTGATGGTTTATCACATAAATATCACAGCTCAAGGTTAACATCATTTGTCCACTAAATATTTGCCACATTTTTTCATTTTTTGAATAATCCAGTTACAACAATTTTTCACGCAATAATTGTTAAGAATCTTATTCAAGCGCAAAACGAAAGAGCTTTAATTCTATACATTAGACATGACCCATTGTTATTATGCTTATCTTATTTGTTTGACCATTATTTTAAGGTTTACTTCAACTGTCTTTTAATCAAAACACAATAAAATGAAATAAAAATTTAACGTCAAAATTGAGATTAACAAACATAATTTCACAAAATTATTATCTCTTTGTTTTAGATTAAATTTGATTTATTCGTCCAGTTCGTAATAAAACTTCGCTTTCTCCTCTTCAAAAGTTGACAAATTGGACTCCAATGCTTCGTCGCCCCGCCAACGCCGTAACACATGCATTCCTTGCCAGGATCCTTCTGTCCGAAACAGTAGCGTGGTGAAGTTGTAGCAACGCACCTACCTCCTCCAGCACCCTTGCAAACTCTGCAGTAACTGTCACAAGTGCCCAGAAATTTGCCGCTCAGATCACTTTCCTTCGGCGAAGAACACCTGGCTATGTCGTCCAGACAACTGCTCATCGACGTCGCCAGCAGCGAGATAAATGTCAAAGTTATCATCAAGAACATCGTCCCAACTTTTTGAATATTTACGCACAGAATTTCAGTTGAAGAACGTCGGTGTTTACACGTCGTGACGTAATTTCGGTCGATTGTTTACACGTGTGACGTGATTTTTTGTCGTTTAATTTCAAAAAACGATCGTAGATAAATTAATTAATTTGAGTTCAAATTTGAGCGAATTTTTAAAGGTTCAAAGCATTTCACATCGGTGATGTATTAATTAAAACCATTTCCAACTTATCGTGCGATCTGATGCATATGATTAGGATGCTAATATGCATATTCAAGACAATTCATCCGGGCTCCGTACTAAACATTACTTTCCACCAATCACAGCTCTTTCATTTTCTGAATATTATACTCGATGCTCAACTTCTCACCAAGTTGCAGCAACTGTGTGCGTGCATGCACACGCTGTCGATATTTCAATTAATAAATATTCTATTTAATTCTAAATTATGAAATAAAGGATAAAAAATTAAGAAATTAATTTTTAGTTTTCAAAATGATGTCGACGTATTTTAAAATATTATCAATTTTAACGCTCCTTATCATTAATCGTTCACTTGTACATGGATTAGCGGAAGGAAGCCGAAATCTCTGCTACAAAAACAACAGACCCGTCAGCTGCACGCCAGGATTCGTAAATGCCGCATCGGAATTACCAGTGATCGTTACAAATACTTGCGGTGAGGAGGAACCGGAACCTTACTGTGTGGTGTCTGAAAGTAATTTGGCCGAATCCGGATCGGAAACGAATTGTTACGAGTGTGACGCTAGCATTCCTGAGAAAAGTCATCCTGCAAAATATTTAACGGATATTCAAAAAGATGGCGCGAAATCTACCTGGTGGCAGTCGTCCACTATGATGAAAAGAATGCAGTACCCAAACAGCGTCAATTTGACGATTCACTTAGGTAGGTGAGGCTTGATGACGTAATGAGTTTATGTACACGCAACATTTTCCGTTATGTTTTTTTTTAGTTTTTATGGCTTATGCTGATGGTGCTTTTGATCGAATGTGATTATTTATCGCTAATATAATTAAATATTACTTCAATTCTTTTTATACACTTATTTTGAATTATGCAATATAATACATTTAGTTAACCAACTCGTATTACTTCGATTTGACGTTTTTAAATAGTTTTTGTCTTGAAAAATTCAAAGTAAGCATAAATTGCAAAATTTTGAAAGTTGTAAGACCTTCAAATTGGGAGAGATCTATGTGGATTTTTGTTTTACTGTGAATTAAAAAGAACATATTTGCTCAACTTTGTCAATAGTTTGCGATATCTTTCAACGTTTAATCTAGAAAAAAACTGAATGTTTTGTTGCTAAGCGTTTTTTTATCATGTAAGTCAATACCATTGTTGCGATTTTTTGCAATCAATTTCATCACAACGATGTATTATTTTATTTCGAATTCATATGCCGTCGTTTTTTCATGCAAGATTTAAAAGAATTTTAAAACTAAACGAAGCATATGGACGAGAGAAAAACAACTTTGCACACACACACACACACACACACACACACACACACACACACACACACACTCACACACACTCACACACACAACACATAGACAAGTACACTAATATATATAAACACGTGCAACGCATGTGTGCATTTTATAAACCACACAAAGACCAACTGCGTGCACACACATCAGCACACTCTTCATCTCTGGTTTCATATTCCCACAAATTCATCCATCCACCGCTATCTCCAGATAACTTGTATGAGGTACGAGATGCCTGCCTCCTATAACATACAATACACGTACCAAACATATACATTATAGTATACATCTATTTATATACACTTTCACACGCGCGCGCGCACACACGTACAAACGCGCGCACACATAAAGTATTATTACATTGTATCACTATCTCCACCAACAACCTAAAGTTTTATGAGTCATAAAATTAAAGTCTTGTCGCTGGTTGAATGAACGAAGGAATAAAATGAATGAGTAAAATGAGTGACTTTACCCTTTTGTGTTTTCCCAATAGATTGTATGCACTCACGCACGCACGCACGCACACTATTACACACACATACATATCATTACTTATTGCACGGGACAGCACAAACAAATACAAATAGAAAAAGTAACCGTAGTATACTGTTGTTGTGTTTAGTTAAAATATGTAGTAGTTGGTGCAGTGAAGGTTTGTCTGTTACTAATTTGTGTACAGTGTAAGAGTATATTGTATCAGTTCCATGATATCAATATATATATATATATATATATATATATATATATATATATATATATATACATACATACATACAACACAAGTGTACGTGAACTTGGGTGTAGGATGAATAGCTATTTTTATAAATACAGTTGAAATAAGATTTTAAACAAATTTTTAAAAGTAAAAATAAACGAATTACCAAATTAGTTAATTTTTCTCAAATGAGTAGAGTGCTAAAATTATTTTTTGGCCATTTAACTTATTTCGCTGGTTATGTTATTTATTTTCAACGGCAATTTTGTAGTCTAAAGATTGGAAAAATTTTCTAATGGATGTTTGTAATTTCAGATGTGGATCCATGTTCGTCTCTTATAAGCTTTCCGATTGAGATAAATATAGTAGACCTTACTTATTAGATGGGATAGTTTATAAAAGAACATGCATATTTTTTGAACAAATTATTTCCGCAATTTTATGTTAAAGGGAAATGGAAAAATATGGATGATGTCAACCCAACGAGTGAATATTTCATTCAAATGAGTCTCGTCTGTAGTACGGCTCTGAAGATGAAGACGCGGAGCTCGGTTTGTAGTTGTGAAAAAGTGCATCGAACAATATACTCAAATGAAACAATATACTATTAATTTGTAACTAAAAAAGTTAGAAAAAATTTAATGAGCTGTTTGTTATTGTACATTTAACAAGCACGAATGTATGCAAGAAGCTTGCCGAGAGGAGCGAATCTAGCTTCTTTTTAATAAATTATAATAATATATATAAATTATAGATGAATAAAAATGTTAGGAATATATACAGTCGTAAAAATATGATTGCGTGTGTGTGCTGTTGGACCGCACAATTCTTAACAGCTCTTCGTTGTTTAACGTTAAGTCGTATAGTCAAAACTGGTTTTCTATATTTTATTCGATTTCAAAATAAAATATATAGCAAACCATATATATATATATGTGTAGTGAACGAATCGTTTGTTATTTTCTTACAACATAAGAAATCTCGCAACAGTGTACATAAATAACTTTTCTTTCAAACGTTTTTTAACGCCCATTGTCTATATAAAAAGGATATGAGCGAAGTAATATCACTAGTAGAAGTTTGCACGCAACACACAATAACTTGTGAATGAATGCATGAATGAATGAATGAACTAATGAACGAACGAACGAATTTGGTTTGTTTATCTTTCAATTTTCCAACGTTTCTTTCTTTCCTATTTTATTTCCGAACAATATTTTAATGAACAAGGTTTTGAACATAGGAGGTTTATTTGTGAGATGTGTGAAAACGTTTTACAGGTAGTACGTGTTAGCTCGTTATGGGTAAGATTTAATTCAACATTTCAAATGAAAATTTAGTTACAGCACTTACACAGATAGCAAAAATTGTGAATTATTTATTTTAATAAAATTTATTTTACAAAACATAAAAACATCGAACTTGGAAGGTGTATGGACGAATTACTCTACAATGGTATTTTTGTAGGACTAACATTTTGTAGCACTATTGCTGCACGTTACGCAGCGCTGGTTTTGAAACACATCTTAAAGCTTATGAAAAATTGAGATGTAATACGGGAAGTAGGAAGAAGGTTTGGAGATAAGATCCATAGGAAGCAATTGTGGACACGGCAAAAATGTGACTGAAATATAAATATTAACATAATGATAATTTGATGGTCTTAATTCAGTGCTTTCCAGTTTAAATATAATGGAAATTAAACATTCAGGAAAGCACCAAATGTTTAACTTAAATATGCAAGTGTTAATTTTAAACATAAATTTTATGGAAATGTTTTATTTATCGTTGTTTCATTTTTTAATTTACGTTAGATCATTAATTATTATAGATTTTAATTTATTTTTAACATGTTCTCTATTATCTTCCGCTTATTTTTCTCTGTTAACTCAGTTGTTCATATGTATTCTTAATTATTTAATTACATCGTCATATTCGTTCATTTCATTTATTTGTTCATTCAGTTGTTCGCATTTTCTATCTGTAACTTGACTTGTAAGATTTAGTACAAGTTATAATAATATTTGCAGCTAACTCATCAAATTATGACAGCTAATTCACGTGCTTGCTGATTGGGCGCGGCTTGAAAAGCATTTTTCCATAATCATGTCATTACCAACATATTCTTTCATCACTGACTTTGCTTAATTATATCGTTGCTTCTTTTTTTGGCTACTTTTGTTTTTTAATATTTGTAATGTTGATTTTACTTTTTTTTCTTTTAAAATGGAACAATACGTTGAACCAATTATTTAGTTATTTATTCAAAAACATGATGCAAAACTAATTGTGCAACATGCATTCATTCAGGCAAAACATTCGAGATAACATACATCAAAATATTCTTCTTCTCGAGTCGTCCTGAAAGTTTTGCTATCTACAAGAAGGTGTCACCTGATGCAGACTGGGAACCCTTCCAATATTACAGGTTACATCACAAAATTGCAAATAATATATTCTATTGTGTTCTTATTTTGCTTTACAAGTCTAGGCGCCCAATGAAACAATACTTAACATTTACTTTTATTTCGTTGCAGCATTTCAACAGTTTATGAGCTGGTAAAAATCAAGCAATCACCAAAATTCGACCCTTCATCGGCCAAGCAATCATCCTCATAATTTTAATCAAAATAATTTTAAATAAAAAGACATTAATCAATTCATTTGCTACTTGTCAATCAAACCAGCTAAATAATTTTTAAAAATGTAACACACACAATACAATGTAACCAGAGACATCCATTAATTTCAGTTCATCGTGCGAAGCCCGCTTTAACATGCCGGCCGTCCGCACAGCTCCGCTGAACAACCCCAGCCAAGTGTTGTGCAGCGAAGATGAAAGCGACATCAGCCCGCTCACTGACGCTTCCGTCGTCTTCACAACTCTCTCCAAAAGGATGCGACCCAAGAAGATTCCATTCGATGAACTGCCCGCTCTTTATGTTAGTCCTGGTTTTGGTTGATTGTTCTTGAAAATTGTAGGAACATTGAATTTATGTTTTATCAAAATTGTGTCTAACATTTTTTGGCTGCCTTAGTAACATTAAGATTAATAACCACGCTGCCAGCAATATAACAGTGAATTTTTTTTTAAATAAAAAGGCACCAAACGATTTTGCATTATCATTTGTTACTTTTTTTACAGTACATTACATTTACAATAGATTACGGTATTAACTTTTTATTTTGTTATTTTAGTAGCATCAGCTGTTGTAGTAAAAAATACACGTTAAAATATTGTGTATAGTTAAATGAACAACAATTTTAACGTCAGTTTGTTGAGAGTTGTAGTTGTTTGCAGTAGACCAACATACATAGCTGTGCTGGAGCTGGAGTGAATCAGATATGTTTAACGTATCATGTTACATTGTGTGAAGATGCTTGAAAAAGAAAACAAACAATAAAAATAATTTATAATAAACGCTAGTAAGCTTTCATCTCAAATAATGATGAAAAAAATTAATTTTTTCAATAGATTAAATAATTAAAGTAAGATATGTGCGTATACGTGCTGGTATAGTTACAGGTTTTAGTGTAGATGTAGACAAACAAGTACAAAAACTCATGACTCACAGGCGCGTTAGACATAGACACACAGATTCATAGACACGTAGACTTCTCTGCTTTGCTCTATAGTATATCGTGTTGAGATTGAAGAAAATTGCTCGTTTGTATCGTCACATTGTCATGTATTTATCAAAAAACGATTTCAATTATCTACAGAATTAGTACCCGAATATCCTATATACACAAACGAAATCACAAACAAATAACAACAATACCCAATAACAAGCAAACTCATACACAGGCACACGCGCACATTGATACACACACATACACACAAACAACACATGACACAACAGGAATTCACAACGGCTTCTGACATCATGATCTCCCTGATCAAGATGAACACCTGGGGAGATGAGGCCTTCGACGAGCCGAGAGCTCAGGCTCAATACTTCTACGCCATCAAGGAAATTAACGTTGGAGGAAGGTTAATACTTATGGGCATTCGCTGGGTTTCATCGGGTTCAGTGGTGTTTTTTTTCTTAATTTTTGTTTCAGTACCCATATAAATTTTTGTAGTATGATAAATCTCTTTGGTACTGGTCATTTTAGTAGTAGGAGTAACTGTTTCCAAATCAGGTTCAACGTCGCTTAATAAGAAATCGCAAATTTATTTCTAAGCGTTCGGTTGCAATTCAAACGTAGAGCTAATTCTTGAAAATGTATAAGTTTGATATATGCGCCTATTTAAATTGAAATATAAACATTTGAAAATCGCTAATTAATCTTTTTGTATTATTATTAGCATTATTATTATTATTTTTACTGTTTTTTGTGAAATAATTTAATTGTTTCTTATTGTTCGATTCACTATTTTACTTTTTTCATTTGATGATAGTCAAACTTGACATACCATTTATCTTTCAATCAGAAAAAATTGAAAAACTTTTAAAATGTCTGTATGAGAAAATTGTTTCAATTGCTCTTTT